ACATTTTGAGTGCTCAGTAGATAAATGTGGTCCATGGCTAGCAGACTGGACACGCAGATGGTGAAAAATTCCATCATCACAGAGAGCTCTAAAGGACACACTGATTCAGCCCATCCCCTCTATCTGGACACTTGATTTGTTTCCAGTCTATAGGTATTTCAGTGAGGATGAGGCCCATCCCTGGCATGCAGAAGAACTAGCTGGGAGCTGCCTTGGAAATTCTGGGTCTTCAACCTCAGAGATTGAGGTCTGTGAGGCTTCTGCAAGAGGAGGGGCTTTGGGGTTTGAGCAGAAGCTTGACCAGGGCCTGAAAGAGAAAGTGGTCTTTAAGTCCTTATGGTCAGGTCACCTGCTCAGCCCCAAGCCTCCACACCTTCCTTCCAGGCTTGCCAAAATGACAATGTTTCCTTGCATCCAATATTTTGTAAACACTTCTTAAGCAAATACATGGTGCTGAGACCTGCTCTGGGGACACAGAAACAGAAAAATACAGTCCCTGCTTTGGAGAAACTCACAGTCCAAAGAAAGAGACAGATCATCATCACCTCCTCTTGGACAAGGACTTTCTAAGTGGACTCACTGAAGATCAGAAGGTCTGATAATACTCTATGTTAGTGAGGATGTGGGGAGACAGGCAATCTTGTCCATTGTTGTTGGTGGTGTTGCAAATTGTATGTGTGTGTATGCAAATCTGTACAAATTTTTTAGAGGACAGTTTGGTGAAAATTTATCAAAAATTTAAAAAGCTTTGACTCGGCAGTGTTACATTTATAAATTTATCTTGCAGCTATAGACTTAAGTGCAAACAAACATATATACCAAGACACTCCCTGCAGGAGCATTGATTGTCGTAACAAAAGGCTCTAAAAACCAAAACCAAACTCACTGTCATTGAGTCAATTCGACTCAAAGTGACCTTCCTTGGGTTTCCAATCTACGGAAGTAGATTGCTCAATCTTCCTTCTGAGGAGTGGCTGGTGGGTTTGAACCTCCAACCTTCTGGTTAGCAGTCAAATGCCTTAGGCACTATGCCAGGCTAGAACCACCTAAATTCCTACTAGGAGGGTAATAGTGAAATAAATTATGACACACTTATATACAAAGGCAGGTATATTATTAAGTGAAATAGCAAGGTACTGAACAGTGTGGAGTGTGCTATAGCATCTGTGTAAAAAAATACACTCTCACACACTCCACATACACGCAAACTGCTAAATGGCTGGTATATGCCTAAAGTGGGAGCTCTGGTAGCATAGTGGCTAAGACACTTGCCTGCTAACCAGACAGCTGGCGGTTCAAACCCACCAGCTGCTCCTCGGAAGAAAGGCTGGGCAATCCTACTTCCGTTGTGATACTGCCTTGGAAACCCAAGGAGGGGTCGCTATGAGTCGGGTTTGACTCGACGGCACATAACAACAACAACAACATGCCTAAAGTATCTCCAGATAATATATCTGGAGATTTACAGATTAAACTCTTGAGAGTGACTTCCTATGAGGAGGAGAAGGAGGACAGGGAGGCAGGTTGGTTGTATAGAAAGACTTGGTTTTCATTGTACATGTTTTTGAGTTTTTTTTTTTTTTTTTTTTTAAGAAACACCAACTGAGTTATCACCAGCAGATAGGAGAAGGGGATTCTTGGGAAAACCAGATTAGTCACCTGAGCACTGTGTGGCTGCACAATCCCTCCATCATAGGTGACAAGGCAACAGTCGAGAAATGTAACCCATGCTGTGTTTATGTCTGTTATCACACTGGGAGACCTCGCCCTATCTTAGCTGTCATACCTCCTGTGCCCAGCAGGGGGAAGCACAGACTCACAAAAGCTTTGGTCCCCAAGCTTCACCACTAGGATCCTTTCTAGGATTTCTTCCTCTGCAGATCCATGATTGGAGAAACATTCCTGCCAAGCCAACCAAATTCATTAGGTAATGATTGATTAAATTACCCCCTCTTTTTTTTTTTTTTTTTGGTAACTCACAGTTCTAATAGCCATTTGAGATACAGCTAGCATAGGCTTGCTGAACTGGTAAGTTTGCACACAAGAGGTCCTAGCTAGCCTAGCCTTATTTCCACCAGGCTTTGGGTAGGGTTAAGGAGCTATGGTTGTATAGTGGCTAATGCATTTGGCAGCTAACCAAAAGGTCCAGCCACTCGTGGGAGAAAGGTGGGACAGTCTGCTTCTGTGAAGATTGACAGCCTTGGAAACCCTATGGGACAGTTCTACACTGTCCTATTTTAGTAGATGGCAGTGGGCTTGGTTTTTTGATTTTTGGTCATTGGCAATGACCTGAGGACTCCCAGGGATTGACGGTGCCTGCTGGCAACTATTGGACTGGAGGCTCTCTGCTCGGGTTTTCAGCTGGGGGCACAGTTACCCTTTTGGGAGGTTTTGACACCATGCCCATCCTTCTCCTTCCCTCTCAAAAAAGTGGTTCTGGACGAGAGGAAACATGAACACCTGTCACCACCGGCTGACTTGTAGGAGCCACTCTCCCAGATGTGTTTGGTCTGTCCCTTGCTCAGCTGTGGGTACCCCGAGGACAGGGACTTTTCTGTCTGCCACAGAATCCTCAGGACCAAGCATAGTAGTTGGCACACAGCTGGTGCAAAGGAAAGGTTTGTTGTTGAATTGAAAGAGACAGATATCAAGAGGATCAGAGGCTGGTTAAAACAATAACAGCAGCAACAAAAAAAGAGGCCTCACCTGACCCCAAGGGCAAGACCCCATCTCTGGTCTGCCCTGGGCTGGAGGTGAGGGCAGTGGCCAGGGAATGGGTTGGCTTTGCACACGCCCAAGGAGAAAGCAAGCTGCTTTTGCTCACCTTGGAGGTCTCTGGCCAAAACAAGACACAAGTGAACCCATTTCTTACCCACCTGAGGTGTTGATGACCTTGGCTGATGAGAGGCTTAAATAGGGTCAGTGGAGTGGGAGTGGGGGGTGGCTCATCCCAGGGCCTTCTTCAGGATTTGATAATCTTCCAGCTCCTGCTAAAACTTCTGCCAGTGGTGCTGGACAATTGGAGAGTGAGGGTGGAAGGCGGCTGAGGCTACAAGAGGAGGGGACACTTAGGACCTCTGGGCTGGCCTAGAGAACATCTGGGACTCATTCAGTGAGTTCTCGATGCCCCAGCAGTGCAGGCAGGGGCCAAGTGGGGTCCTACAAGTGAAACTGGGATGAGAGGAGACAGTCAAGGAGAAAGGCTTCAGCCACAGCTAGAAACTGTGGGTCCTAACCAGGGGCAGATTACCCACTAAGCAAGGCAGCATGGGCTTACTTCTTATCAGTTACTAATCTACAGTGAACAGTTTCACATGGGTTTCATTAAGCCCACCCTTACCTTACTTGCTGGGTACTCTGTCCCTGTCAGGGGCTAGAAATTTGAAAAGAGGCCCTGACTCTAGGAAGATGCTGTGGGGTCACCTGAGTTGGGAGAGAGACAGATATCAGCCATACCTAGAAGCTGCATCTCTGATATGGTGAAATATGTGAAATTGTTCACTATCGATTAATATGTAAGCACAGGTAAGCCTGTGCTTACCTTGCTTATTGGGTCCTCAGCAGTGGTTCTAATCCTTCCCCATACTTCCTCACCCTCCGGTTCATCCAGGCTGGGAGGGGGGCAGGATGGCAGCTCCAAGGTGGTATAGACAGTGTCCTGGATTTGGAGGCAGACAGACAGGAGACTTCTGCTGGCCCTTTATGAGATGTGCGCTTTTGGACAAGTCACCTACCGGCTCTGAACCTCAGTTCCCCCATTTGTGAAATGAGGAGATAATCCCACCTCTCATAGTCATTGTCCAGATGAATGATAGGTCCTGGAAGAGCTTCTGTAGCTAGCAGACACCAGAGATTGTTACTCGCTCAAGTGAGAGGCCACCTTAGGTCCCTGGAAGTGATAGCGTCAGGATTTTTTTTCTCCCAACAGTGCCTGCTTCTTTCCCAGCCCCGCGGTTAGCTTTAATCCTACCTTACTCAACCCTGGTAGTTTTCCTTGGAACCACCTCGGTGGTCCTCAGCTTCTCGCAGCCAGCCCTTTTTCATGGGCGCCCCATACCAAGACTGCTGGCGGTGCCGACGCAGGCGCAGAGCTTGTTGAGGGTGGGACAGGTGGCGGGGTCTACAAGGACCAGGGTTTGCGCCCCCCGCCCCGTTCGGGCCTTGTCATTTGCAGATGGCTTCCTCTGGTCTTCAGCTCATCTCTGGGCTAAACAGACAAGGAGAGAAAGAAGGGGTGGGGGGGCATGGAAGGGCGCTCTAGAGGGGGACGCAGTCCCTGCGCCCCAACGCAGCACCACCATGGTTCTCCCAGCCGCGTTGGAGCTTGCTGAGAATCCTCGATTCGAGGTCTGTCCCCTCTGTCCCCACGGCCGTGACCCCCTTCCCCAGACCCCGCCACTGCTCCGGCTGGAGGCGGCGAAAGATGTGGTTCTAGGACCCGGAGGCGCCGCCGAGCGCGCCTCCGCCTCTGGCTTCGCCTTCGCAGCCTCTGGCTCGTGCAGGTGAAGCGGTGCGGGCCGCCCCCTCTGCGGCGGCAGGTGACCCGCCTAGCCACCGCTCCTGCCGCGCCATGGCTGCCGGGGACCCCCGGCCTGCAGGCGCCCGCCCCCTCCCTCCAGCCCGCCCCCCTGGGGCTGGGTGCGCAGTGGCGACGGCGGCGGCGAAATGCGGTCTGCGCGCACCGGGAGCAGCAGCAGAAGTTCGAAAATCGCCGAGGGGGGAGCCAGCGCCGCAGCTTCCTGCCCCCGGCCCAGCCCTCGGGGCCCGTCGGCCTGCAGTCTGACTTCCTCCCCGCGCCCTGAAGCTCGCCGCCCGGCACCCTCAGACGGGGCCGCCGGGATGGGACGCCGCGCCCCGGCCCCTGCGCGCCGCTGAGCAGAGCTCCTCGCCGCTGCAAGCCGCTGCCTCGGTCACCCCCGAGCCCGGAGCCGCTTCCCCCGCCCCCCGGAAAGCTGGATTTCCGAGGCTGGAGGCGCCTGGCCGACTGGGTGGGGACCACTATGGGCAACGCGGCCGGCAGCGCCGAGCAGCCCGCGGGCCCCACCGCGTCGCCCCCTAAGCAGCCTGCGGCTCCCAAGCAGCCGATGCCCGCGGCGGGAGAGCTGGAGGAGCGATTCAACCGGGTCTTGGTGAGTATGACCCCAGCTGCGCGCAGGGCGCGGACGAGGGGCCTCAGGGGCTTGGCACGCGACCCCATCTCCGGGGACTCAGGTGCCGCTTAGAGATCCCCGGCTCAGTGGCTGCCCCCTCCAGGGGGTGGGAGTGACAGTGGCTGCCTTCAGAGTGACTTAGCACTCTCCCACCTAAAACTTTCTTCTGCAACCTGGTCTCCTTTCCAAAGACGCCTTCTCAGCTCTCTGGGGTCTAAAGGTCTTAAACAAAACTATTTAGTGAGGAAGTGTGAAGCTGAGCCCTTCAGAGGGTTCTGGGGTCTAAAGGTCTTTAATAAAACTCTAGTGAGGAAGTGGGAAGCTGAGCCGGTCAGAGGGTCCTGGGGCTGCCCTCCCTGCTACATGCTGGCCCAGCCACCGTGCGCAGGGCTGAGGCATCCGCCACTCGTTGTCTTCGCTGCCCAGCCGGAAGGGGTTACATTTTCACCTCCTGGAAGGAGGAGATGGAGCCTAGGTGTTTCTGTGCGGGTTTGTTCAGTGCCTGGGCTGCTGGGAGTTGGGTAGTTAGGTCGTTCCGCCCGGGTGTCAGTATTTCTCACCCCCCAATTTATCACAGAGAAGTATCTGTAGGTCTTTGTCTTGGGCACTGGTCCATCCACTGAAGGGCTTAGGTCAGGAAGGGCGGGGTCAGAAGAGCTGGTCACTGTACTTGGACTGGAGCAACAGTCGGAAGCACCCCTTGCTTGATAGGAGGGTTGGGCATGGATCCTGGGGACTAGGCCACTGGGGAGGGCTCCACCAGCTCAGGTGGGGCCTGGAGCAGTGGGCTGGGTTTAACGGGATGGGGGCACCAGAGCAGAATCAGGGAGTCCCATAAAGAGGGTAGGAGAGAGTAGTGGGGAGGGGAAGAAGACTCGTTCTCACTTCCCCCTCCCTACCTCAGCCATTCCCCAGCTCCTTCTCTAAGTGGCCTGTCTGCTGTCCACCTTCCCTTGCTGGACACTGGGCAATAGGAGAATAAGGACATGCTTTTACCCAGAGTCCCTTCCCAGTCTGAGCAGGCTGGTGCTGCAGGGCTTAGGGTGGGGACTGAGGGAGTCCTGGCAGCAGTACAGCTTAGTCCTTCATTCCCTCTACCTCCTGGACATCATTCCCCTCCCCTGGGCAGTCACTGGGCTACACATCAGACCTCCTGCATGGCCCCACAGGGCACCTTCTAATGGTTCTTGAAAGTCTTGGCTACTGTTCCCTCCTCGAAAAAGATTAAGAGCAATTTGGAGAAACTGGCCAGGGTGAAGTGGGGCAACTGGCTTGCTTAGGGGGAGGGAAGGGCCTCTGGGGGATGCCTTCCGGCAGGCTAGCCCCAGATGTCCCCATTTCTTCACCTGCCCCCTCTCCCACCTCTCCACATCTGGGGCCTGGCCATGCTGAGCTGAGCTGATGGGTGTCCCGGTAGAGGTGGGAGGATGAGGGGGCCATTTGGGGAGCCTGAGCTGGTGTGGGTCCCTGGACTGCACCAGCCTGATGGGGGGCATAGGTCTGTCTTTCTCTTCAAGTGCATGTCTAAGGTTGTAGGTGAGTCCCAGGGTAAGGCCCACGCGCCAATCCACTCTCTGTTAAGAACACCAATGGGGAAGAGCTGTGTGAATAATTCAGATGGGTGGGCAATCTAAAAGTCAAACAGTGAGGTTTTTGCCACCTGCCTGTGTAGTAGGACTTTATTGCCCTGCTTGGATTAGCTGCCATAACTCTGATGGGCTGGGTCTAACACTAAATGCCTTTGGGAGTCTCTAAGTGCCAGAGAGTGGAGAGCAGAGGCCCAGAGATGGGTCTTAGAGGATGCCCTTGTGGCTAAAGGGTGGTGGCTGGGTAGAAACCTAGTGCAGTGGCACCAGCTCCCAGGAACCCCAGTGTTCACACTTCATCGGCTTCCTGGGGAGGGTTCAGCCTGTCCTTTGCACTGTTGTGGGCAGGATCTATCCAAGGTCACTTGGCTAAGAACCTGACTCCTCTCATTTCCCACCAGTAGCGGTATTTGCCTTGACCCTTAGGGTGACAGCCATGATCTTTGCCTGAGGATGCCCACATCTAAAGAGCTGGCTAAACATATGCCTGGCGATGGCCATTGCAAGGTGGACCTCCACCTGACACTGCACGCTTCCCCACCCCAGCCCAGCCCCAGTGACTGAGTCCAGTCCTGTCCTTAGGGAGTGCCTAAGAGGAGAACCTTAGCTTGCTGAGGGGGTTGGGCCAGCACCCTCAGCACCCCCAGTCTTGGTAGGAGAAGTACAACCCTACTTTGAGGATCTAGTCAGATGGCCATAGTGAACCCCTTCCATTCTCTCCAGTTCAGCCCTTTCACCCCTGGGGGCTTATGAGATCCAGACACCCAAAACCACCCCTCCACTCCTGGCTGTGGGCCCCCTCCTGTGAGTAGGGGTGCTCCCATCATGCCCACAGCCATACAGGCGATGCAGGGAGCCTGCTCTTCCTTTCCTGGCCAGCCTTTCTCCTGTGCAGGGGTGGGGGCAACCTGGAGGGTGTGTGTGTGGGGGGGCCTTACTTAAAATGGGGGTGGGGAAGAAGAGCAGGTTGAGCCAGGGTTTCGGCTGTTGCCTTAGCAACGGCGGAGGAACAACGGCTGCCCAGCCACACGGCCTGCTGCGACGGTGGGGAAGCCAGCCAGTCCCACTCTGCTCTTGCCTCTCCTACGCCCATGCCTGAGGCGGCTGAGTGGCTTCCAGTCCTCAGCCCGCCCCGAGGGGCAGACAGGGCCAGGGATTGAGATGGTAAGGCACCCTTTCCAAGTTTGCCAGTTAGCCAGGTATGCAATTCCCCTAATCTGTCTGGCCAGGGAGGAGCCTGTGACCTTCAGGAGAGGTTTTAAAGCCATGTGCCAGGGCAGAGGGATTGAGGGGAGGTGCTAGGAACGGTGTGCAGGGGTCCTCAGGTGATGCTGATGTCCTACTGGGGGGTGAACCATCTGGAGAGGAATTTGCCTGATGGCGGCCAGCATCCTGGGGTACTAAGCAGCATATGCCTGTGCCCAGGCCCAGTGGGGAGGTCAGGAAAACCCTAAGCAGGATGTGGCCCTGGCAGTCCTGCCTCTGGCTGGCCCCTCCAGTCTGGGACTGGTGTTGGAGGCAGGAGCAGATGTCAGTTTGGTCCAGCTGAGACTGAACTCCCTTCTCTGTGATAGGGGACAGTAGGGTTTTACTTTATTTATTTAAATCATTTATTTTGTTTTGTTGCTCTTGTTGCAAATATACACAGCAAAGCCTACACCAATCCAACAGTCAACATGTACAATTCACCAACATTGATGACGTTCTTTGAGTTGTGCTACCATCCTCACTCTCCTTCTCGGGGTAGTTCCTCCCCCATGAACATAAATTCACTCTCCCCTAAGGATCCTGTCTCATCTTTTGAGTTGTTATGGTCACTCTTATTCCATATATGTAGATCTTTTTTTTTTTTTTTTCCCATATAGGTAGATCTTGAAAGAGCATAAAACTCAAGGCAGACATGCTTTACTAGTTTGGCTAAACTGTAGTTTGGTTTCAAGACAGGGGATGTTTTTGGTTTGAGGTTGAAAGATTAGCTCAGGGCAGTAGTTTCAGGGGTTCGTCCAACCTCTGTGGACCCAGAAAGTCGGGGTCCTAGGGCTTTTGAAATTCCAGTTGGAGCAGAATTGGTTTGGGAGCCGTAGCTATGAGGCCTGTGTTGTTCAGTCTCTGTGATCCTGCCCTGGGGGTGTCTCACATGAGGAGCCCAAAGGGGCTGTGGCCCTGTGGTCAGATGCTAGGCTGGGCAGAGGCTGGGGGGTGGCATTTTTAGCAGGCAGGGCTAGCACATGTTGACCCTGGACACTCAGGGATGTGGTAGGCATGACTCAGGGACATCCCGGCTTGGCAAAGAGCTGGCTGAGATGGGTAGGAGCAGGTGGGACTGCTCTTGGGCAGCTTCTGCATTTTTTTGCTGGGAACAGGGAACCTTGGAAGGTGGCTTGGGCCTCCCTGCCTCTAAGCTGGGCAGGGGCTACTCAAGGGAAAGGCAGAGTAGCTTCCTGGGCTTTGGGGTTGTGACGTTTGAGTTTCATCTTTGCCACTTGTTACCTGTGTGAGCTTGGGTTAGTTACTTAACCTCTCTGAGCTTCAGTTTTCCTCACATGTAAGAAGAGAACAGTAATGATATATGCTGGCCTTCTGGGATTGTTGAGGGGATTACATGAAGGTATGGATACAGAGTGGTTAGCACAGTGCCTGGCAGAGGCCCAGTAGATACTCTCCCCTGTGAGGAAGGGGGATGGTGACTTTGCAGCTAACGAAGGCCTCTGCATCCGGGGCCCCTGTGAGGAGAAGGAGCCCAGACCCCACCTCTCCCTTTCCGTAACTCCATTACCAAAACCACCTGAGGTTGCTGTGTACCCCTGAGGAGACCCCATCGCAGGCCAACCTGCCATCACACAGGCCAGTAACAATGAAGCCTTGGTAGAAAGCTTTGAGTGGCTGGAAACCACGACGGAGGGCCCACTTCTCCTGGAGGGTGGGGCAGCGGTGGTACTAACGGTAGCAGAGTGCTCATGAGGAGGGAGTGCAGAGGCCTCCACTTCCCCCTGAGAGAGGGTGTGTTGGGGGGGGGGTTCCCCAGTGAGTAAGAGTTCCGTGTGGGCAACAACAGGAAGTGTAGGGTGCTGGGTGACAGGAAGTGGGGCTGGCTGTTCCTGGTTCCTCAGAAAGGGGAGGAGGGCTGGGCTCAGCTGTCTGCAGAAGACCCCTGGGGAGCCAAGACCCACACTTCAAGCGGTTCCATTTCCCTCAGTGTTCCTTCTTCTAATCAGCTTATTAGCGAAGTCACCTCGGGCAAGCGGCTTAATTGATCCGCGCCTCAGTTTCCCATCTGTAAAATGGAGATTTAATAGTAGGCATGTTGATGAGGCTTAAAGGAGGTATCAGATGTCAAACATTTAGAATGGTACCTCAAAAACACCCAAACTCACTGCCATTGAGTCGAGTCTGACTCATAGGGACCCCCTTTGGGTTTCTGATGCTGTAAATCTTTACCGAAGTAGATTGCCCTGTCTTCCTTCCACGGAGTGGCTGGTGGGTTTGAACTGCCAGCCTTCTGGGTAGCAGTCATATGCCTTAGGCACTGTGCCACCAGAGCTCCAGAATGGTACTTAGCACAGGGCAAGTGCTATGGAGGTGCTGCTGTTACCGTCCTCTTCCACTTCCTCCTTCTGCCAGCCTGCATTATATGGACATTGCCTGCTGCTCTGGCTTCTACCTGCTGGCCCTTGTCCCTGTTGTGGGGACCCCGGAACCCCAAACGGAGAAGCTGTTAGGTTTTTATGGATCCCAGCACCCTATTCTAGGGCTGTCACCCCACAACCCTCCTCTAAGTCTGGGATGGTTTATAAGAGCACCAGAAAATCTATATACCAGAATTTTTTTAAGTGGATAAAAGAGATTGTTTTTAGAGATGCACTGAGAACTCTAGAATCAAAGTAGAGACCATACAGCGGTGGGGGGTGGAGGGCAGTAGGGGCCAGAGGCCAGAGTGAAGAACCCCTGCAAGGTCGGTAGGACACATGGGTTGGTGCCAGGTTCAGGGGCATCCTGGGACTTTCAGGCCAGGCCTCATGAGGAGAGGGTAGGCAGGTGGGCTGGGATGCAGACTCAGCTCGGGCTGAAAGTGAAGCTGGTGGGTGTGGCTGTGTCCAGCTGCAGATGGAGCCCTTCAGTCTCCTGTGACCCTGCTCCAGATGGCAGCACTGGTGTGGGGGTGGTAGGAAACTGCAAGGGGATGGTCTTGGGTGAATGGAATGTGGGGGCCCCCTTTGGTACCCAGAGAGGTAGGGGCAGGGAGGGCGGAGAATGGGCCACATTCTAGAAAGATGTGGGGAATCGGCTCCTTCTCTTGGCCATACCCCAAAAGATGAATCTTGTCTCCTCTGTGTCTGATCCAAAGCACTTAGAGTGACAGGGAAGGGGATCGAGGGGTCAGTTACATTTTTGGCCAAGTCTTGGGGATGTTGTTGTTGTTGTTGTTATGTGCCGTCGAGTCGGCCCCGACTCATAGCGACCCCTCCTTGGGTTTCCGAGGCAGTATCACTACGGAAGTAGGATTGCCCAACCTTCCTTCCGAGGAGTGGCTGGTGGGTTTGAACCGCCAGCCGTCTGGTTAGCAGGCAAGTGTCTTAGCCACTATGCTACCAGAGCTCCTGGGGATAGGTAGGTTTTATTGGCTGTTATCACAAATCTCTGCTCACTGCAGCCTCGCCCCGCCTTGGGACTTCCCTGAACCCCCTCCTGTCCGTGGAATGACTTTTGGATAGTGCTATATTACTGAAGAATATAATTCCATCAAAACACAGCTTCTCACCATTTCCCAGCAGCTCTGTGAGGCTGGGAGGCAAAGAGAGTGTGCCTGTTTCGTGCCAGAGGAAGCTGAGGCTGGAGGCCAAGAAGCTCTAGGGCTAGGGGGTCAAGAGCTGGGGACCAGCACTTGGATCTTCTGAACCCTGTCCTGGTTCTTCCATATCACAGCTGCCCCTCCTGCCCCTGGCTTCCCCGGAGGCAGGTATCTCCCCCACCTGCACTGCCTGCCCCTCCCAGTCCCATCTGAGCACTGTCAGCCAACCTCCTACTTGCCCATCCTAGCCCCCACCCCGTGCTACTGTCTCCTTGCTGAGGATCTGGCTCTGGGGGGCTGTTTTTGCTTCCCAGAGTGGCCGCACTCATCCCAAGTGAGCGCCAACTGCTAGCCTCTAGCCTCTAGCCTTTAGCCGGTAGTCAGTAGTCTCCCCCTTGCTCCCTGGGGTGCCTGTATCCTTGGTGGGCACAGCCAAGGAGCAGCTGCTAATTAGCACTCAGGGCTGTCAGAGCTATTTCTGATTTCTGAGCCTAAATTTAGCCTGTCTGGCAGGCTGGGGTGTGGGCCCCGGGGCCTGAGGAGGCCAGGTGGGGAAGGGGCAAAGGGAGCCCGGCCCTCTGCAACTCCTAGGAGCTATCTGAGGGCTGGACAGGTGCTCCAGCTTTGTAATTGAGGGACCCAAGCCCCCCATCCCAGTAATAACTGTAGGCCTCTCCTGGGTTGGGAGGCAGGGTGGTGCTCAGAGTCAACTCTGGGCTCAAAGCCTGGCTCTTCTGTTACAGCTGTGTGACCTTGGGCAGGTCACTAACCCAATTTGTGCTTACACACCTGTACCCAAACCAAACCAGTTGTCACAGTTGATTCTGATTCACGGTGACCCCGTGTGTTACAGTGTAGTACTGCTCCATAGAATTTTCTTGGCTACAATCGTGACGGAAGGAGCCCTGGTGGTGCTTGGCTGCTAACTGAAAGGCTGGTGGTTTGAACCTACCCAGTGGTGCTGCAGGAGAAAGACCTGGCTATCTGCTCTTGTAAAGATTGCTGCCTAGAGAACTCTATGGGGCAGTTCTGCTGTGTCCCATGGGGTCACTGTGAGTCAGAACTGACTTGACAGCACCCAACAACAATGGTCTTTAGGACACAGTTTGGTAAGTCTTTCTCCTGCGGTGCTCATGGGTGGGTGCAAACCACCAATCTTCAGGTTAGCAGTTGATCACACACTCCTGGCGCCACCCAGGCTCCTTCCCACACCTGTAGAGTGAGAATAATGGTGGTGTCTGGTAATGGTTGTGTGGGGGAGTGAGGTCACTGGTGCGAGGGGCTTAGAGCAGCGATGCCCATTGAGGCAGTCAGCTCCTGTGATCGTTGTGGTCATAATGGTTATGGAGGAAATGCTTTCTGGGGCAGGAGCCACCCTATGAGCCACTCAGGTTGCTGGGGGTGGGTGAGGGTCCAGAATGACACTTGCTGGGAGCAGTCACCCTCTCCGGCCATCCCCTCACTCCCTGCCCTCTTTCCCCATGGCCGTCTTCTTCCCCTGTGCTGGCCCCAAGGCCCTGTTTCCCCTTCAGGTCCCCAGCACTGTCTACCTTCTCTCCTGCCTTCCTCCTTCCCCCTCAGCCATGCCTCCCACCTTGGGCCCGCCTCCACCCATGTCTCTGGGGGCTGATGATGTATCAGAGAAGACCAGGGATAGAGAGACAGAGGATGATCCCAGGGAGGGCTCCTTGCCAGAGCGGGACCCTCTCCAGAGCTCTCAGACTCCTTCCCGGGCAGCCCCTCCCATGTGTGTGTTGTGTATAGTAGCAAGAGCTGTCCTGGCCGTTGGTGGGTTGAGTGAGGGAGGGGGCCGATGAGACAGCAGTGGTTTCTTCAATCTGGGCTCAATTTCGCAATGGGGGAGAGAGATGACGTACCCCCAACACCAGACGGCCTGGGGGGGGGGGCGTGCCCAGTGGATGAGCAGTTTCACCTCTCAAGTGGGGCCGTCAGCTGGAAAGCTTAAGCAATAGGGGCTGAGAGCACCCAGCTTCCTGTGATCTGGGGTGACCAGAGGCAGTGATTTTTGGGGTGAGTCCTGGCTGGAGCCCCAGTATTAAACCCAGCAACCCAGAGAGGAAGCTGGCTGAGGAGCCTCCTGTGGGTGCGGCCCCTTTCTGCTCTGGCCGTGGCGTCTTCTTATGGCCACGTGACTGAAAGTGTGCCGTCCAAGTTGCCAGAGCTGACAGCAGCTTCCCCGGCTCTGGGTGGGGCTCCCACACCTCAGTGGAGACCTTGGCTTAACTCAGAGCTCCTTCATTTTAGGCCCTCAATAAAGTGGGGTTTACTGGACTGGGGCAAATTGGCTTCGTCTTGGGGGTCCAGGGAGCCCCTAGTGCTGGTGATACCTGGGTGATCCTGCAGCCCCGGCTAGGCCCTCTGCCTGCACTGTGGGGGGAAATTTGATTGAGACTCTACGTTTGTCATCTGTGGCTGAGCAAGAAGGACCAGGCAGGCGACTGTTGACCTTTCTTAGCTACTCAGGGAAGTCCCAGCCTGGGCCACAGCACCCCAGACCCAGCATACTGGCTGGGGAGATCCTGTGGCTGGGTGACCTTCTCCTCTGAAATCCCCCTCCCCCTGCAGCCATGATGCACCTTCCTGGAATCCCTGGTTTGCCTGACTCTCTGACCTCACTCCTGTCCCAAAGTGGGAGGGGGCCCCTGCTCTCCACACCATAGGTTTTCTGGTATTTATGTGCCCTGGGCTGAGTGTGTGGACCTGGGGTCTTGTGGCACATGAGAGTGGGGCCTTGTCCACACCTGGCCATACTTGGGCCTGCCTAGGAGTGGCTCCTCTGTTAACTTCTCAACCAAATGGGGGTTGAGATGAGACCCAAATATCACAGAGGGAGCAGCAGCTGGGGCCCAGAGGTGTCTGGGGTCCTGACAGGCTGGGCTGAGAACTCTTATTCCTGCCTCTACACCCTGAGTGCCAGGAGGCTATGTCTGAGGGACAAAGGCCAGATCTGGATAATGCCACCTAAACGTACTCCAGTGGGGAGAGAACGATGCAGAATCACGTGTGTGAAACACCTCCCAGGGAGCTGGGCCATTGATGGTTCCCAGAATGCCTATTCTCCCCTCCCCCCACACTGGGGCCCCAGGCTCAGGGGTCTTTACTTTGTCCTCCCCTCCCCAGAACTGCATGAACTTGCCCCCGGACAAGGTGCAGCTGCTGAGCCAGTATGACAACGAGAAGAAATGGGAACTCATCTGTGACCAGGTGGGTGCCAGCATGGCCCTGTGCCCCTTCCTTCCACCCTTGGGAGTCTTGCTCTGCCCTGGCTGGGCTGGGGCTGGCTGGAGATGGGACACCGCCATGCTGCTTATGGGGCAAAGACCCTGTCCAGAGGCCAGCACTGCATCTGGGGAGGGTGCTGAGGTGTCTGCAGGGACTCTGGGATCCCCCACTCTTGAACACAGGCCTCCCCAAAGAGCTTGTGAGTCAAAAGCGGGCAGGGCTGGCCCAGGGCACTGGCCAGTGCAGCTGGGGCCATGCCACCATCCTCCGGAGTTTCCTGGAACAGCCTTCCATGATCCTCTTCTCCAGTTGGATGTCTATTTGGCCCTGTGGGGGGTAGGGGGAAGGGAAGGAACCCTTGTTCTCCTTTTACCTGGGGCCCAGAGGAGCTGTAGGCTCCCCAAGGTCAACCATTTCCCAAGTAATAGAGCAGGGGCCAGAACTCCCCCATCTTCTGGGACTCAGCCTGGGCTTCTGGGCCGCCACCTTCATGGCTCAGTCACTGTTCCTGCCCCTCTAGCTAGCTCTAGGGCTGCATCAGTGACACTGGGAGGACCCCTTTCCCACTGCTAGGTGGGTGGGGCCTGGCTACCACAGTGATTCCAAGATGGAGGGAAGATGGAGGGAGGGAGGTGGGGAGTGGCCTTTAAGTCTGTGGTTGTGGAGTGGGGGTGGAGAGTTAGGGAGCAGGAGCCTCCCCTGGGAGCCAGGGCTGGACCTTGCCTGTAATGGATGGGAGGGATGAGCTGGCCTGCAGGAGTCTAGGGGTAAGGGCTGGGCGTGGGAAGAGAGTGGGGAGCTGACTCCAGGCCTTGGGGCTGTAGAAAGGGGTCCAATATCTCAGAGCTTGGAGGCTCAAAGGCTTGGGAGAAGTGGGAGGTTAGAAGATGGTGGGGCTATGTTGAACACAAATGAACATACACACAGGTACCTACTAATATAAGAACACGTGAACAGGACAGCTGGGATAGAATCCTGAGGAAGGAGCCCTCAGCCTGCCAAGGAGCTGGGCTGGGAGTGTTGGTGGGGGCTGGCCTTCAGTGACCCCTTCCTCCAGACCCCTCCAGGGCATTTTTCCTTCCTGTCCCCCAAAGTCTGGGCTGAGGTATGGTCAAGGGAGGGCAGGAGGCTAGAAGGATGCCACCTAGTGGCCAGTCTGAGTGCCTTCCCCCAGGGGGTCCCTGGCAGGACTGATCCTTCCATGCCCCACCCCAGAGCTGTGCTAGGTTGTGGCCTGTGAAGCCAAAGTGGGGAGGGATGGCTGGGCCCAGAGCAGGGGAATTTAAGTGGCCTGGTGGACTGCTTGGGTTTATGCCTTTGGTAGTTCAGAGGGGTCTTAAGACAGCCTGGGACCCAGGTCAAAGCTGAGAATCAGCCCTGGGATGAGGGCTGGCGGAGCTCTGCTGGTTCCCTTGACACCTCATTCCCTCTTCCCAGGAGAGGTTCCAAGTCAAGAACCCCCCTGCAGCCTACATCCAGAAGCTGAAGAGCTACCTGGATACTGGTGGGGTCAGCCGGAAGGTGGCAGCTGATTGGATGCCCAACTTGGGGGTACGTCTGCCCTTTTTTCTCTGTCCCTTTTCCCCTGTACCCTCCTAATCTCTGGGAAGCTGGGGTGACTGTGTAAAAACTAACACACTTTCCTGTGGGCTTGTGTGGGGACGTGTATGAGTGTGTGTGTATTTACAGCGGAGGAGAGTGCCTTGGTTGTGCACTTTTACAGGCTCCTTTGAGCATCGAGCATCCTGTATGTGCATACGTGGGTACACTTCTTGTACTTGTGTGTGTATGTGTGACCTTGTGTATTCATGTATGGATTTGTTTCTGTACTGTGTATGTACTTTTGTGTTTGTGTATGGATGTGAACGTGTGTTTGTATGTATCATTGTATGCATATATAGGCATGTGTATGATAGGTGTGTGTTCTGGATGTGTGTACCCCGTGTGTCATGTCTGTGCATAGATGTGTGCATGTACCCAGCTTATCCTGTACAGATGCATAGATGTGTATATCCTGTACATGGATGTGTGGGTATTCTAGGTATGTATATCTTTTTTTTTTTTTGTACATTTATTGTGGTGAAAACATACACACCAAGACATTCACCAACATAACAACTTCCACATTTACAGCTCAGGGACATTGATGACATTTTTCATGTTGTGCTACCATTATCACTATCCTTTTCCAAAGTATTCCACCACGACTGTGGGGCTCAATGCCCCACAAACAAAAGCTTTCCCTTTCCCCCTCCCTCCTATCCCTGGTCACCACTAATAATCTTTGGTTTCTAAACACCAAAAACCAAACTCACTGCCTTTGGGTCAATTTTAACTCATTGCAACCTCTTTTGGGTTTCTGAGGCAGTGAATCTTTGTGGAAATAGATTTCCCAGTCTTCCTTTCACGGAGTGGCTGGTGAGTTTTACTGCTAGCTTCCTGGTTAGCAGTCAAATGCCTTAGGCACTACGCCACCAGAACTCCTTTGGTTTCTCTCTCTCTTTCTCTCTCTCCGTATATTTTCAACCTATCTAGGGATTTTCCCTCCTCTTCCCTCCCATCCCTAGTAACCAACAAAGAAAGTTTCCTTCCATATATAAACCTTTCATTGACTTTTTACAATAGTGAACTAGTACAATATTTATCCTTCTGTGATTGACTTATTTCCCTCAGCATAATGTCCTCCAAGTTTATCCATGTCATGTGGTGTTTTACAGATTCTAAATTATTCTTTAGTGTTGCATAGTATTCCATTGTGTGTATGTACCACATTTGGTTATCCATTCCTCCGCTGATAGGCACTTATGTTGTTTCCATCTCTTTGCTATTGTGAATAGTGCTGTATGTGTATGTGTGTATATATGTGTATATATCTTGGGTGCTCCTATATGAATGCATATTTGTGTTTGTGTGCTCAGCGTTTCCATGTATGGGTGTGTGTGTACCCTATGTGTGCTTTTATGGAGATGTGTATGTGTATGGGCCCCGTGTGTCTGAGTATGGATATGTGTGTGTGTATGCATACCTTGTGTATCCGAGTATGGGTGTGTGTGTGCATGCCCAGTGTGTCCAAGTATGAGTGTGTCTGTGTGTGTATACCCTGTCTAAGGACGGACGTGGATGTGTGTGCCCTCTGTGTTGAAGCATGGATGAGTGGTGTGTACCTCGTGTGCCTCTGCATGGAGGGGGCGGTGTAGCCTGTGAGTGTTTATTCCACTAGGAGGGTGTGTGGAGGTGGTGGAGGAGGCTGTGCATGAAAGGCTACGTATGCCAGTGTGAGTGTGTGTAGGTGGCTGCTGCTGGCTGCTGCCTGGGCTTGGTGGGCGTTTGGAGGCCTGGGCTTGCCCCACCAGGCTGCCTTGTTCTTGGCCTGCAGTTTAAGAGGCGTGTTCAGGAGTCCACACAGGTGCTGCGGGAGCTGGAGATCTCCCTGAGAACAAACCACATTGGGTGAGTGAGGGGCCCAGGAGAGCTCCCCTTACAGGCAGCCCCCCTAGGCTTCCCCTTCCTCCTCTCCTGGCACAGGGCTATGCCTGTGGACCTCTTGTGGGGTGGGTATCTGGACGGCTTCCCTGCCTCCCCTCTTGTCCCTTCTCTGGCCCTCACCTCAGCTACCTGGTAACATCTGGCAGCATCCTGGGCCTTCTGGACCTGGTTATGGTGTCTCCCTGGGGGAGGAGCATACAGGCCCTCATGCACCCATCACCTGCTTACTCTGGCTGGGACTCAGGATGCCCTGTGTCCCATAGGTGGGTGCGAGAGTTCCTCAGCGAGGAGAACCGCGGCCTGGATGTGCTGCTTGAGTACTTGGCCTTTGCTCAGTGCTCCGTCACGTAAGCTCTCCTGTGTTCCCCACCCCTACACTGCCCCCCAGCCGCTCCTCACAGCTCAGGCTTCCCTGCGCCCTGCCTGCCAGCTCTAGGCAGCACAACCCCAGCTCGTTCTGAAACCCTGTGCCTGGCCCTCAGTGTTCCCCTTCCTGAAGGCCTGCCCTGGACAGGGAAGGACGTAGCCTGGGGACCTCCTGGCACCTAGCAGACATCCCAAGGGTACACTCTTCTGTTCCACCATCCTCTCTCCCCCATTATGTCCAGCCCACTGCCAAGAACACAGCCTGTTCCCCACCCCAGCCTCTTCTCAGGCCTATTTCTCTTCCCTTAATTCTTAGCCCTGTCTTAAGTGCCCCTGCAGTGTTGGCCTCCAGTCCCACTGCATTGTCCCCTGCAGGTATGACATGGAAAGCACAGACAATGGAGCCCCCAACACAGAGAGAAGCAAGCCGCTGGAGCAGTCAGTAGAGGATCTCAGCAAGGGTCCCCCCTCATCCTGTACACCACACCCCAGGAGTCGCCACCTGACCGTCAAGTATGTGTGGCCCATGGCAAGGTGGCAGGAGAATGAAGAATTTCCCCCCACACACCTTGGCATCCAGCTAGCCTATCCAGAGCCTGGGGTGGTGGGAAGGGTAGCCAAGCATTGGGAGCAGAGTTAGGGCCACACACAGGGCTTGGGTCGAAGATGTGTTAAGAAGCCATAGGGGTGGGCATCTAGGACCTGGGGTCTGGGTGGTTCTGGGATTGGGATGGTGTTTCTGGGTCGATGAGACCCATCTGTACCCATCTAACCCCCTGTTTTCTCCCATATCGCCTACAGATGCCCCCCTTCTCCCCGGTACGTAGTTGCCTAGGGGCAGGTGCATGCCTGGCTAGCTCCCCAGGATGGTGGGGGGTTGGGTGAGGTGATGCCCAGTTTCAGCTGCTGTGGAAAGGCTGCCCTACTCAATTCCACACAGGAGATGGCCCTGGGTCAGCTTGTGGACTGCCAGTTTCCTCCCTTCCCACTTGGATCTAGGGGACCACTTTCACGTTAAGCTCCAAACTCTCACGATATGTCCATTCATTCATCCAACAAACATCTTTAGCACTTACTGTGTATCAGGCAGGAACTCTGGTGGCGTAGTGCCTAAAGCATTTGACTGCTCACCAGAAGGCTGGCAGTTCAAACCCACGAGCCACTCCTCAGAAGGAAGACTGGGCAATCTACTTCTGTAGTGATACCTCCTCAGAAACCCAAGGAGGGGTCTCTATGAGTCGGGATCAACTCGACAGCAGTGAGATTTTTTTTTTTTTTAAATGTATCAGGCACTGGGGCAGGTGCTCAGAAGACAGATTAACTTGTGATGGGGGCCCACAGTATAGTGGAGGGCAGTTCCGTGTGACAGGCTAGCATGGAGGTATGACTGGGAGCCCTGAGAAAGGAGATGGCCATTGCCTGGGTCATCAGGAAGGCTTATCAGAAGAGGTGCCACTGGAACTGTGTCTTACAAATGAATAGAGACTTTACAGGCAGTGATGGGGGAGGGAAGGGCATTTGAAGCAGAAGGAATGACATGGACAAAGACTTGGAATGTGCCAGAAAGATGGGAGACTTGATTGGGTGGTGGCAGGGCCTCCCAGCATTGTTGGAAACATGGCAGAACTGTCAGAAGGACCTGACCTGTGAAAGTCACAATTGGCTTTACTGCTACAGTGAAAACATCAGACATTGTTTGGCAAAAAACAATTGCACACACTTGGATAGTACCTGCTATGTGCCAGGCACCATTCTAAGTATTTAACATATTCACTCATTTTACAACAAAACCCTATCAGGAAGGGATGGTTATTGCTATTTCTGTTTTACAAATGAGGAAACTGAGGCCCAGGAAGATGAAGAAACGTGCCTAATAAGTGGTGGAACTGAGATTTGAACCAACCAACTCTGAATCAGAATCTGCCTGTCAAGATGGAAGATAAACTCAAGTGGCCGCCAGCGCCACCTTGTGGAGAGTGCTTCCATGGCTGTTTCCAAGCTATGGCTATCTTTTTCCATAGGCTCTCCAGCCCAACAACAGAGCAACCGTTTTTAATGCCATATTACTGTTAAGGGTCTTTGCTTCCCTGAGCCCCCTCCTCTCCTCTCCTCCCCACGCCCTAGGGACTAAGAAACCCTACCTGCCCTCAGCTGGCCTGTTTTGTTGCGTGGACAAGAGGTAGTGGCCTAAAGTTTCAGAGGCCATCTGATTGATTGAGGGAGTGGGAAGTGGGGCCTCAGGACTCTGACCCCTGCTGCCTCCCCTCCACCCCACCCAGGCTGACCCCGGCTCACAGTAGGAAGGCTCTGCGGAATTCTCGTATCGTCAGCCAGAAGGATGACGTCCATGTCTGCATTATGTGCTTGCGTGCCATCATGAACTACCAGGTAGACTGGTGGGTATGGGAACTAGGGGCCCAGGAGCTAGGCCTATACTTACTAGGGGCTGCCCAGTTGCTGAGGTTCTAGGACCAAACACATACTGGAGAGCCCTAGGGTCTGGGTTGTTGGCTCAGTGTCTTGAGGTTGACAAGTCTTAGGAGAGGCTTAGATTTCTGCTGCCTCCTTGAGCACCTCTGCTTATGGCCAGGGGTATGGATGTGCCTCACTTAGGGACTTTGACATGCATACCAAGAAGGGCTGGATAGCGAGGCCGTAGCAGACAGCAGCCTGTGGGTATTTGGAGGAATGGTTGGTAAAGTGGGCCCTCCCTCACTTAGCTGGCCTTTGAGGACTCCCTGTGTGCAAGATGCCTTAGAAAAGACAAAGGGATTTACAAAGAGGGACAGTCAGGCACTTGCTATAGCAGAAGAGGTTGTGGTTGGCAGGAAAAAAAAAAAAAAAAAAAAAAGCTTGAGAGCAGTTAAAGACCAGAATGGCATGGCACAGGCTGTGCTGAGGGTGCTGGGCAGAAGGTCCTGGCAGTTCTGGGGGTCTGCCTGGAGGAGCCGACCTTCCTCTCTCTCCAGTCTGGCTTCAGTCTCATCATGAACCACCCCGCCTGTGTCAACGAGATTGCTCTGAGTCTGAACAACAAGAACCCCAGGTGAAGTCCACACCCCAACTTTCCCCACATCCAGACTCTCTTGCCCACTCTCTCTCCCAATTCTCAGGACTGCTGTCCAGGCTCATGCCACCCCCAGCACTAGCTCCTCTGTTCTTCCTCAAGCCTGGGACCCCGCCTCTTGCTGAGGAGCCCACCATCAGCTCCTCTGTCCTCGCCAGCCCTGTGTCTGCCCTTGCTGCAATGCCTGCCTGTTCTCAAGGGACAACCCACCCCTTCTCTCCCTAGAACCAAGGCTCTGGTGCTGGAGCTGCTGGCAGCTGTGTGCCTGGTGCGGGGGGGACACGACATCATCCTTGCGGCCTTTGACAACTTCAAGGAGGTACTGGAACCCCCTGCCCCCATGTCCACACATGTACTTGCCCCTGTAGTGGGTGTGGAGTCTCACTGCCAACAATTGTTGCCTCTGTTGGGGACAGCTGGGGACACTGGGTAGGCATTTGGGGAGCACAGGGTGGGGATAATCTGGGACAGAGATGTTTTGGAGGAAAGGTGTAAGATCAGGTGGGTTTACTGCCTGGGGCCACAGGGATAACTGCAGGATCTGCTGAACCTCTGACCCTCAGCTTTGCCGGAGCCAAAGTGGACTTGATCCACACATACATCGGAGTAGCTGACTCTGGGTTACAGGCTCACGAGAAGTAAAGGCATGACAGGATGTATACAGCAGGATACCTGCATTCACTCATTTAATGGATATTTACTGTGTGTCAGACACAGGAGCAGGCACTTGGGATACACCAGTGAACCAGAGGAACAGAGAAGCAAAGCAGAGGGAGACTCTGGGCAATAGGCTAATAATAAACAGTATAACATTTACTTATGTAAATGACACCGTAAGTTAGAAAATCCATCCTGTGGGAGAGAAAATCGTGCAGGGTGAGCTCAGAGACACTGTGGGAGAGAACTGTTTGCAGGGTGGTCGGGGCAGGCTGCATCAAAGGGAGGTTTGAACAGAGCTGGAAAGGCACTGGCTGCAGTAGCTCTCAGGTGTAAGAGCGCTCCAGGCAGGTGGAAGAATGCATGCAAAGGCCTTGTGGTGGGTACGTGCCAGGATGCCAGTGAGGCTGGAGTGCAGTGAGTGAGGGCAACAGGAGGAGAGGAGATGGAAGGCTGGCCTCTGTGATTGGGTTCTGTAGGGCTGACTAGCCTTGGCCCTTGGGTCGCATGGCCGGTGGAACACTTGGGTTTGGCATCAGTATTTGTGCAAGCAGAGCCCAACCTGGCAGCTGGCCAGCTTTGGACAGTGTTAGAAACAGGGTCCTCTGAGCTCCTGGGGCTGGTGACGGCAGCCTGCCGGCAGGAGAGAACTGTACCTGCAGTTGTTGGATAGGATGTGGGATCCATTTGCATGCAATTTGCACAAATTTTCATGTTTGTGCATGAAAACTCTCACCTCCACTTAAGGACCAAAGGAATGATCCAGATCTAGACCTCCTCCTGGGTGGTGACACAGAGACCACTTTCCTAGACTTATCTCTAATACAGGAATAGTCTCAGGCAAAGGGGACACCAGGTGGTCGCAGGCTATTGGTGAATGCACGAGCTCCCCCTAGATCCTGCCCTGTGAGAATGCCAAGTGGGGTGAGGAGGCCAGGTTTGCCTCTGAGACTAGGGCACCCAGGACCTCAGTGACAGCCATTCCCCTCCACCCAGGTATGTGGGGAGCAGCATCGCTTTGAGAAGCTGATGGAGTATTTCCGGAATGAGGACAGCAACATTGACTTCATGGTGAGCTCAGGAGCTCAGCAGGCTTAGGGCTGGGCAGGGCCACTCTTGGAAGCAGGAAGCAGCTTGGGGCCTAGGGATCTGGGGCCTGGGCCTTGTCCCTGCAAAGTGTGAGGACTGAGTGGTCAGCAGGGGGAAGGGAGAGATGGTAGAGAGGGGGGTAGGCTGGTCACTGGAGTGAGAGATGGAGAGAAAGAGACTTGGGAGTAAGTTGGGGAGTGGGATGGAGGGCACTGAGCACCCCTACCTGCTCACGTGCCCTTCCCTGCAGGTGGCCTGCATGCAATTCATCAACATTGTGGTACACTCAGTGGAGAATATGAACTTCCGTGTCTTCTTGCAATATGAGTTCACCCACCTGGGTCTGGACCTGTACTTGGAGGTGAGCCCCATACACCCCGAGCCTTAACCACTTGCCCACAGCAGCATATGGCTAAGTAGTTAGCAGCATGGACGCTGGGGTCAGGCAGACTTTGGTTCAAATCCTGGCTCTGCTACTTCTTAGCCATGTGACCTTGGATAGACTTCTTTGCCCTGCAACTAAGTGTTCTCATCTGTAAAAACAGGAGAATCACAGAGGTGGGAATGACTGTCCATGTGTAGAACAGTCTGGGCACAGAGTGGGTGTCTAGTCCATGGGGTGGGTTTGTTTGTTTTTAATTTTTATCATGATTTGGGTGAAAGTTTACAGTGCAAATTCATTTTCCATACAGCAGTTCACATACACTTTGTCTAATGACATTGACTACAATATCCCACAATGCAACAGCTCTCTTCCCACTTCCTCCCCATAGCCACCTCTTCCCTGTGCTCTTCCCTCTGTGCACTTCTGCCCCCTGAGCTATCTCCCTGTGCATTTTGTTGTTGTTATTTGCCATCAAGTCGGCCCCGACTCATAGCAACCCCTCCTTGGGTTTCCGAGGCAGTGTCACTACGGAAGTAGGATTGCCCAACCTTCCTTCTGAGGAGTGGCTGGTGGGTTTGAACTGCCAGCCTTCTGGTTAGCAGTCAAGTGCCTTAGGCACTATGCTACCAGAGCTCCTTCCCTGTGCATTGTTGTTGTTGTTGTTATGTGCCGTCGAGTCGGCCCCGACTCATAGCGACCCCTCCTTGGGTTGCCGAGGCAGTATCACTACGGAAGTAGGATTGCCCAACCTTCCTTCCGAGGAGTGGCTGGTGGGTTTGAACCGCCAGCCTTCTGGTTAGCAGTCAAGTGCCTTAGGCACTATGCCACCAGAGCGCCTTTTCTGTGCATACACAGCCCTTATATTCTCCCATGATTGGTCTCTCCAAGGAGTGTATCTACGTAATGTAAATGTTCAGCTCATATGCCTGTCTTTTGTTTTGCTGGAAGCCACAGGAATGGGCTCAGTTCCAGAACTGAAGGGCAGCTAGGGGACATAGTCTCAGTCGTTCCACCAGGCTCTATCAGACCAGCAAACCTGGTCCCCCCCCCCCTTTTTTTAAATGATTTTGAGTTTTGTTCCACATTGTTCTCCCACTCTATCCAGGATCTCCTACATAGATCCCCCTCTGAGTGTTTGACAGTGGTAGCCGGCCACCATCTAGTTCTTCTGGTCTTATAGTCAAATAGGCTGAGGATTGCATGGTGTACCAGTCCCTTGGACTAATTGTTCCATGAAGTTGTTTTTGCAGGCACTGGGTCAGGCTCTAGGAGGTCTTGGGTCTGAGTCTAGGAACACCGGCCTGCAGTAGGTGCTCTGATGCCAGCTCAAAACAGGGAGCACAGAGACACTGGGCCGAAGTGGGAGCCAGATCCACCTGGGTCCAGGTCTCAGAGGAAAGCTTTGTTCTGGGAAAGGTGCACAGAAGAGCTTGAGCTTGGTGCTTCCAGGCCCAGCCTGAGCGGCTTCTTCCCTGATTCTTTTGGGAGGTGCCCTAGAAGACTAGGGCCTTTGGGATTAGATTTTTGAAAGGCAGGATGAACAAAAGCAGACTACATAGAATGGGATATTATTGAGCCATAAAAAGGAATAAAGTACTAATAGATGGTCCAGCATGGTGGAAGCTTGAAAACATTATCCTAAGTGAAAGAAGCCAGACGCAAAAGGCCACATACTGTCAGATTCCATTTATGTGAAATGTCCTGAGTAGGCAAGGCCATGGAGACAGAAAGTAGATTAGTGGTCACCAGGGGTTGGGAGAGAGAGAGGAATGGGGATGGGGTTTCTATTTGGGGTGATAAAATGATCTGCTATTAGATCGTGGTCATGGCAGTATAACCTTGTGAATCTACTAAAAAAACCAAACCAAACTCACTGCCGTCGAGTAGGATCGGACTCATAGCGACCCCTCCTTGGGTTTCTGAGGCAGTATCACTACGAATGTAAATTGCTCAACCTTCCTTCTCAGGAGTGGCTGGTGGGTTTGAACCGCCATCCTTCTGGTTAGCAGTCACATGCCTTAAGCACTATGCCACCAGAGCTCCCTGTGAATCTACTAAAAGCCATTAAATTGTACATTTAAAATGGTGACTATCACAATATGTGAAGTATATCTTGGTAAAAAATAAAAAGCAAGGACTCAGGCCCCTTCCCCTGGGGGCACTGGAAGGACCACCCCCTTCTCGCACCAGCCCTCACCCTACTTGTTCTATCTGGGGACAGAGGCTGCGACTCACGGAGAGTGACAAGCTCCAGGTGCAGATCCAGGCGTACCTGGACAATGTTTTTGATGTGGGCTCGCTGCTGGAGGACACCGAGACCAAGAATGCGGTGCTGGAGCACATGGAGGAGTTGCAGGAGCAGGTGGCCACGGTGAGAGCAGCCTGCGCCCACTAGCACATAGTTGGCCTATAGGACCCCACACCTGGCTCAGGCAGTGGCTCTAGGTGTGAATTTTGGTGGCTGTCGGCCTGGCCCCTGAGTTTGACCAGAATCCAAATCCTGAAGCCTTTGGGTATTGTTCTCAATGAATGTTCCTTGGACTTTGACACTGGGCTGAACCTATGAGGAAGACATGTGCAGACTCCAGGCCCTGGCTTGGGTGGAACTAGGTGCTTGGTTCCCCTGCCAGCTCAGTCTCCTCCTCTCCACCCACCTCCCTCATCAGTGATGCTTTGGTTCTCACTCCTGAGAGCACCTTAGTCATCTCAATGCCTTACCTGCTGGGGTTCAAGTGCCAGGCTTGGGACACCCACAGTCCTCTGGGCTGAGTGCATCCACATCCGGGAGCCTCCCCCAGCCCTCCAGGCAGGCATGCCTGGTGCCGCCCCCTCACTGGTGGCGACAGTGCCCGGCCGCGGGTGGGAGTTCACCAAATGTGCCGGTACCACAGCTGACAGAGAGGCTTCGGGACGCGGAAAACGAATCAATGGCTAAGATCGCCGAGCTGGAAAAGCAGCTCAGCCAGGCCCGCAAGGAGCTGGAGACCCTGCGGGTAAGGCTGAGGGGGTGAGCTGGGTCAGGTGGGCTTCCAAGAGCAGACCCGCTGGGACTGCTAAGCTGATACCCCCGCTACCCCGGGCGGAGGATGGGGATCTGGGCCAGGGGGCTTGCAGGTGAGCAGTGACCCTTCCCCCGGGACTTACAGGAGCGCTACAGCGAGTCGACTTCCATGAGTGCCTCCAGGCGGCTCCCAGAACCTGAAAAAGTGCCTCCCCCCTGCTTGGTGCGGCCCTCGGCCCTAGAGCTGAAGGTGGAGGAGCTGGAGGAGAAGGGGTTAATCCGCATCCTGCGGGGGCCGGGAGATGCTGTCTCCATTGAGATCCTTCCGGTCTCTGTGGTAACTCCAAGAGGCAGTGATAGTGATGCTCCGTCTCCGGAGGTGCCCGCTGGCTCCCCAAGCCCAGGTGCACAAAAGCTTCAGACTTGGGGGTCAGGCCAGGTGTGGACAGCCTGAAGCATCTTCGGCACTGAGGGTTGGAGAGGGAAGCTTGGATTGGGGGCACTGCAGCTCAAATGTGTGGGGGGATGGAATGGGCCCAATGCGCATGCGTGGGGCAGGGAGTCAGCGAGGAGACCACAAAGGTAAGAAATTGACGCGCCCCCTCTATCCTCCCTGCTGGGCTCAGATCTCCTACCTGCATCAGAACCAGCTCCCGGAGCAGCGCCCCCACCACCACTGCCGCCTCCGCCCCCACCCCCACCTCCAGGCCCCGCCTCGCAACAAGAAGCCCCGCCCCCGGCGCCCCCAATGGCCCCGCCCCTCCCAGGCAGTCCTGATCCCCCGCCAGCGCCACCAGTTCCAGGAGACCTGCTGCCCCCACCTCCGCCCCCACCGCCGCTCCTGGGCACTGGTGGGCCTGTGCCACCGCCGCCCCCACCACCTCCGGGAGGCCTCTCTGATTCCCTTGGGGGGCCCAGTCCAGAGATGGGCCCAGGTGAGTGAACCGTTGGAGCCCAGGGCTTGGGGGGAATGGAGGGAGGGATCTGGTCTCAGTATCCTCCAGGACCCTCTGTCTGGAAGCCTCCTAATGCCTCCTGCCTGGCCCGGCCTCGCTGGGCCCAGGTTCCTCCAGAACCCACCCCCAACCCCTCTGTGATCAACACTACTTCCCTGCCTCCAGGAGTGAAAGCCAAGAAACCCATCCAGACTAAGTTCCGAATGCCGCTCTTAAACTGGGTGGCCCTGAAGCCCAGCCAGATCACGGGCACTGTCTTCACAGAGCTCAATGATGAAAAGGTGCTCCAGGTGTGTATGGCCCTATCTTGCTCCAGTGTGGGTACTAGAAGGGATGGGCATTCACCAGTCCTGCTGGGCAGGAGGTGGGGCCAAATCCTCTACACTTTTCCTTTCTACTTTTTACCCCTGGCAAATTCCAGCTCTTCCTTCAGCTTTAGTGGACTGGGGTCTGGGTCTCCTGGGTTGGGTGTTCCTCTTACTCCTCAAGGTACCCCATAACCCCAGTCATGGCCTGTGGCCAAGCAGGCTTACTGGTCGATTTCTTGCCTGGTAGCCTGGTCAGTGCCAGGTAGATGGTTCTAGCACTGAGCACAGTCTTCAGCCAGAAATGCACCAGACCTTGACCCCACCCAGCACCACCTCCTCTCCCCGGTCTCTCAGGAGCTAGACATGAGTGACTTTGAGGAGCACTTCAAGACCAAGTCCCAGGGTCCCAGCCTGGACATCAGTGCCCTCAAGGGCAAGGCATCCCAGAAGCCCCCTACCAAGGCAACACTCATTGAGGCCAACCGGGCCAAGAACTTGGCCATCACCCTGCGCAAGGGCAACTTGGGGGCTGACCGCATCTGCCAAGCCATTGAGATGTGAGTATCCTCATGCTAGGCTGGTGGGCAGCCAAGCCCTCTGCCAGGCCAGGGTTGTCAGGCAGGTCTCACTAGAGCCCCAACATTTGTACAGAGTCCATCAAGCTTTACATCAGTCCTGGTCAAGGAAGAGGTCAGGGAACTGTGTATCCCCCATTTAAAAAACTGAGGCTATACATCTCAGGCTGGGATGTCTCCACTCCCTCTCTGCCTCCTTGCCTAGCTATGGACACTCAGCTGTAAACACCTGGACACATGCCATGCTGGTATAAGGGACTTCAGGCTTCCCAGCTCTTGTTCTTCCCTTCTTCCTTGAAGCTGTCAGCAAATGGCAGATATTGAAGTTCATTTATTCAGCCAAGGAGGGAGGCTGTCCTGCTCTCAGGGACAGGTGGGTGTGGAGTGACACCCCCACTACACATACAGGTATGACCTGCAGGCCCTTGGCCTGGACTTCCTGGAGCTCCTGACTCGCTTCCTGCCCACGGAGTACGAACGTAGCCTCATTGCCCACTTTGAGCGGGAGCAGCGGCCCATGGAGGAGTTGTCAGATGAGGACCGCTTCATGCTGCGCTTCAGTCGAATCCCACGCTTGCCCGAGCGCATGGCCACGCTCACCTTCCTGGGCAACTTCCCCGACACTGCCCACATGCTCATGCCGGTGCGGGCAGGGTACAGTGTGGCCTAGGGTGGGGGTGAGGAGAAAGTAGCCCCAGCCTTGGCTCCGAGGGGGAGTCTGGGAGTGCACGAGCCTCTTGATGGGGTTGTCCCCCGCAACTCACCTTGCCTCCCTTCTCCACACCCAGCAACTGAATGCCATCATTGCAGCCTCAATGTCCATCAAGTCCTCGGACAAACTCCGCCAGATCCTGGAGGTGAGAGGCCAGGCCTAGGGTCCTGGAGGTGGGGCCCACCCATGACTCCCTGCTTGCTGTGGGTGATGTGAGAGAGAGACCAGGCCTTTCCTTTTACCCTTAGGATGCAACAAACATGGGGTTTCCACCTTTCACATATATTCCCCTGATGGCACCTCAGAAGGGCAGATGGGGGTGGGAACTTGGTGGCTACAGTGCCTGCCTTGTCTCTAATAGCACTTTGAAGACCCTGCGTGAGCACTTAGCCTCCTTGGGGAGTAGCTCTGTGATGAGGGAGCCCCAATCACACCTGCCCTGTGGAAAGTCAAGGAACCATTCGAAATGGCTGGCAGAGGGGTGACCTTATAGCCTAGGAGTGGGTGTCAGCACTCATAGTGTCAGGGAGGAGTGGCAGAGGACCACTCTGCCAACCGTGCACGTGTGTCAGATGTGTGTACATATGTGTATGTGTCATGGACCTGAGGGATCCATGCAGGAGTACAGGGGGCGCTGAGGGTAGGGCTGGCTTCCACCACTTTTCTTCTTGTGCTGTTTACACTTAAAGGGGTTTCCTCAGCCCTAGCACCCCCTGAGTCCTCCCGCCCTTCCAGATTGTCCTGGCCTTTGGCAACTACATGAACAGCAGCAAGCGAGGAGCAGCCTATGGCTTCCGGCTCCAGAGTCTGGATGCGGTGAGAGGGGAGAGGAGGGACCCCCAGCCCGGGTGATGGGGCTGGTTGGTGGCCAATAGCTTATGACAGACCCTTGTGCAGCTGTTGGAGATGAAGTCCACTGATCGTAAACAGACACTGCTGCACTACCTGGTGAAGGTCATCACCGAGAAGTACCCCCAGCTCACAGGCTTCCACAGTGACCTGCACTTCCTGGACAAGGCAGGGGCAGGTATGGGCCCTTCAGGTCCCTGGGTGAGGGGAGACACTCAGGTCTGGGGCCACTGGGCTGGAATGGGGTGGGCAATGGCAAGGGGACCACAAGATCTGTAATTGGGTGGGAGTGCTGCCTCTCTGATTCCTTGCCCCTGGACCACTCCACCCCACCCAGTATCCTTGGACAGCGTCCTTGGGGACGTGCGCTCCCTGCAGCAAGGTCTGGAGTTGACACAGCGGGAGTTTATGAGGCAGGACGACTGCATGGTGCTTAAGGAGTTCCTGAGGGCCAACACACCCACCATGGACAAACTGCTGGCAGACAGCAAGACAGCTCAGGTCGGGGGGTGGGGAGGCTGGGATGGGGTATGCAGAGGTACTGGGGTCTGGGGGTGTGTGTAGCTCTGCCCTGCAGTGGCATGGCCCCAGCTGGGGCTCCCTGGAGGGCATTAAACTCCCCCTGGTCCGGGGGAGCAGAGATGGGGTTGCCAGTGTCTTATGGTAAGGGTAGCCACCAGTGGTCAAACTCTGAGGGGGCTGATGATCTGTGTCTACAGGAGGCCTACGAATCTGTGGTGGAGTACTTTGGGGAGAATCCCAAGACCACGTCCCCCTCCATGTTTTTTTCCCTCTTTAGCCGCTTTATCAAGGCGTACAAGGTATGTGTGTCTGGTAGGCAGGCTGCAACCCCCATGGGACATTTAAGCCTCTCCACATAGGTGTGGAAAGGGTGGACGCTTGTTCTGTCTTGAGAGTGAGATGGGGAAATAGGATGGGCTCCTTTCATGGAAACCCTCCTCGTCCCCTCAGAAAGCTGAGCAGGAGGTGGAACGGTGGAAGAAAGAAGCAGTTGCCCAGGAGGCAGGCACCGATGCCCTCAGCAGAGGGGAGCCCTTGGCACCCAAGGTAGGCAGCAACCCCTGAGCCTGTTCTGAGATGCAGGAGTGCTTGGTATCCTCGTCATTCTCTAGCCCCTCTGAGTTGTCACTGTATGGACAGCTCCTGCCCAGGGCAAGGGTGGTGCCCAGGAGCCTGGAGTGGAAATGATGTTCTGCTCGGGCCAGCTGCCTTTGCTATGGGGGACTGGGCAGATGTTCTAGGACTTAGGGTGGGGCAGGGAGGACCCTGAGCTGGAGCTGTGTACCCCCAGTCTCCACCCAAGGCTCGGCGGCAGCAGATGGACCTCATCTCAGAGCTGAAACGGAAGCAGCAGAAGGAGCCACTCATCTATGAGAGTGATCGTGACGGCGCCATCGAAGACATCATCACGGGTAAAGCCTCTGCTGGGCCTCTGTCCTGTCCTCAGTCTGTCCTTCTATGCTGTCTTCCATCCACCATCCCCCGGGGGGGTATGTCTGGCTGCCTCACTGCCTCTTGCTACTTTTCCTGTCTTTTTTCTTTTTCCTTCTCTCTACCCCCTCCCCACCTTCCCCCAACCCTCAGTGCTGAAGACAGTGCCCTTCACGGCCCGCACTGGCAAGCGGACATCCCGGCTCCTCTGTGAGGCCAGCCTGGGAGAGGAGATCCCCCTCTAGCCCCCCCAGGTACCCAAAGGGCCTAGCCTCTGACTCCAATAGCTGCCCCCAACCCTGGGACCTTTGCAAAGACTGGGGCCATGCATGACTGGGATGTTTAAGGGGCTTTGGCAAACATCAACAGTGCCCCTTCCCACATGGGTCCCTAGAAAGGTGAGGCCTGTGCTCCAGTGTGGGGTTCCTAGCCCTGGGAAGACTCCTGAAGTGTATATATGTCTCTCTCCAATGCCAGATTTGCGGAACCAGCCCTATATCCGTGCAGACACAGGCCGCCGCAGTGCTCGCAAGCGCCCTCCAGGCCCCCCGCTGCAGGTCACCTCCGACCTTTCGCTGTAGCCACTATTTCTTCAGATGGACTCTGCAGGGGAGTGGGGCCTTGGGTAGTAGGCCGGGGCTCCAGGAAGGTGGTCCTCAGCTCGGCTGGGCCGGGCATCCCCCTCCTCCGCTGTCCCCACCATGGGCCGGGACTCTGCTCTCTTGGCACAGGGGGCAGCATCGCCGGCCTACCCCCGCAAATGCTGTTTGCAGCACACCCTCTCCCCAAAAGCCATACTTAGCCCTAGAGGGAGCCTGGCCTATAACTTATAAAGTGCAACCTCCCCCCACCCTTCAAACTCCCCATCCCCGGGAACTCTCCGTGGACCTTATTTTTATACAAGATTAATAAAGATATTTGCAAAAGATGCGCGTGCGCCCCATGCCCAACCACCACGGCTCAGCCTGGTTTCGCTCAGTAAACGCTTTATTTGAACAAGCTCTTCACGGCAGGTTTCTGCACACAGGCCGGCAGAGGTGAGGAGGGCTGATTCTGCACTAGAGTTGGTGGAGAGGGAGGCAACTTCAAGGGGCGCATACGCTCCAGGACCTCGTCTGCGAACTCTGCGGGAGGGAGAAGGGAACGCGCGGAGGTTCAGGGGGCCTTAGATAAGCACCATCCAAGTCCATCTTTCTGGGCCCCGCCTCCCCGCACTCCCGCCTGCTGCCTGCCTACCTCGCCCGTTCCCAGTGCCCTGTCCTCCATCCTCCAGTCATCCCTCAGCCTCAGCTAGCTTCTCACCTGTCCCTGTCCCCATTTCTTCGGGTTTTGTTGCCACTCCTCACCTGTCCCTCCTCTCCCTACCTATCACCTGTCATACCCCATCTGTCCGTCCCGTCTCGACACCTGCCTGTCCGGTGCTCTCTTAGTTCTGCGAGGTCTGTATGGCTTACCTCTTGCCTAGCCTCTACTCCGCCGGCCTCGCCTGGGTTCCCCTGGCGCTCGGGCTTCTCGCTTGCCCACCCCTCATCTGCATGACCCGCCTATCTCGCTGGCCCCGCCTACTGCCCGCGCTCACTTAGGCTGAGCGGCCCCTGGTTGGCTCGGCACTTAGGGCGGCTGGGCTGGTAGAGCTTGGGTAGTCGGACCTCCGGGCCGGGCGCTTGGCTCTTTGTCCAGCGTTCTGGTCGCGTCTGCAGGTCCAGGTTCGGTATCCGCGAGTAGGGGCTTCGCGAAGCTGGAGTAGCACCAGAGAGGAGCCCGAAGCGGGAGTGGAGGATTGGAAGTGATTGGGAGGGTCCCCTTCATGCAGGGCCCGCCCCACGCTTCCCGCCCTCCCTGCGCCTTGCAGAGGGCGCACCCGCTTTGTGCAGTCTGTGCAGCGAGCGGGCGAGCTGGGCGTTGGAGAGGCCGCTGATGCGCGCAGCCTGGCAGAAGAAGGCGAGGCCCCTGTGGGAATGCGGGGCTCGGCTGTGGCCGCGGGACTGCTCCTTCCAGCCTGGGTTCTGCCTCAGAGCCCGCTGCTTCTTGGAATAGTAGCTTGAAGGAGGAAGGAGGTGTCGCCGCTTCAGACACCGCCCCCCCTTTCATTCACGGGAGGTGTGGGGGGCCCCCGCAAAGCCGAAGCAAGACCAGAAGCCACCTGCCACTGGCCTGGGGCGAGTTGGGACCCAGGACTTCCGTCTCTGGGGCAGGGTTTGTTCGCCTCGTCCGTATCCCTGAATGTGGGCATAGTCTGCCCACCTCATCAACTCCTGGACCGACTGGGAGGGCACAGAGCCCTGGCTCAGCAGCTTGAGCAATATCTCAAAAAACAGGGTCTGCAGGCCCTGGGGGTCATAGATGTGGCTGTTCTTCACCCAGCCTGGGGACAGAGAGCATGGAGGGGGCGGTGAGGAGGGACCTCCAGCAGACCAGACCCCACCCCCACTGCCCCACCAGCCTTGTTCCTCACCTAGGCACTGTGCGAAGCGGTAGTTGTCAGTGAGGACACCCAGGAAATCCTTGAAGCTCACGGTGCCATCACCTGGGGAGAGAGAGTGCTGTGGCAGCTCCCCTGCATATGCTTTAGGGGCTTGCTGGCAAGATGCTAGAGTTCCACAATCAGGTGCTGCCTCCAGCCAAGGAGAGACCCAAATTTGAGTGGGGAAGAGCCAGCCTTTGCCCTGGAAGAGTCTCAAGTCAGGATGAGGATAAACAAACACTGTGTTTAGGAGTCATGGTATAGGTGTGTTAATCTGGGTGGGCTTCCTGGAAGAGATAACTTTAAAATGGGGTCAGGTTAGGATTTTGTGGGTAAGTGAGGCATTCTTCAGGGCTGGAGGTGGGACACAGCAAGAGGATGGGGATGGGGCACCCACCGTCCAAATCTGCCTGGCGAAGAGCCTCACAAATCTCCTGTGGGCTCAGCAGGATGCCCACGTTGCTCAGGGTAACTCTTATGCTGCGCATGTCCACAGTGCCTGCAGGGCTGGAGCTGAGCAGTTTGAAGACATCTTGGAAGGCTAAGGGCAGGGAGGGGGGCAGGCAGCAAAGTGAACCTCACATCAGGAGTCCTGAGATCTGCCTACTCTAGCTCACTGTAGGATCCAGGTCTTGGGTCACCCACCACTCGTGCTCTATTTTTAATACAAAGAACAACAGTGGCTGCTGTGTGTTGGTGCTTGTCAATAGCCCATTCAATCCTCATTTAAATCATGTCCAAGGTTGCACAACCTGTAAGGTGCAACGCAGGGATTTGTACCGTGCAGTATTGCTCCATAGTTACAGTGCTCTGCATATAGCCAGCACTGACAATTGTTGATGATCCTTCTGATTCAAGCCACCCCTGCCAACATCAGTCCTTCCTATCCCTTCTTTTCTTCCTCATTTCATCCATTCATCCAAAATCTCCATTCACTCATTCACCAATCCATCCAGCACACACACACACATACATCCTTAGGCCCATGCACAGTACTAGGCTCTGGGGTCATAGATGACTGGCATGGAGGGAAGGTTAGAATCCAGTAGAATGATCATCTGTTTCCTGCAGTGACACCAGCCAGGTAAGCCCTTATAATGCTGCCCTGAGCACCCCCTATATTTCTAGCCCTTGGGCCCTTACCTGCCAGCTGCCTGGCTGTCAGGGGCAAGAGGTTCTCATCTGTTGAACTGCCCAGGGGAGAAGAGGTTGGAAAGGCCTTTGCCAGGGTTGGGCAGGTCTCATCCCCAACCCAGCGCTCCAGGCCTGGCCTCTAGGACCTGCTTTCACCTCTGAGATCTCCTGCTTCTTTGTGGCTGTACTGGATAGGTAGCCATAAGGCCCTTGAACTTCCTTGTCCCCCATGTGGGCTGCTTAGCCCCTATGGCCACGGCCCTTGTGGCCGGCTCCACTGGGGTCAACAGGGCAGTGTGCAGCTGCAGCCTCCCCTTCTGCACCCTGTCCACTTGCGCTTCCTCTGGATCTCGCGAGAGCAGTCTTTGAGGCTTCTGTGGAGACCTTGGGGAGAAGACAGGGCAGAGGGACTCAGCCCACTCTCCCTGCTCAGACTCTTGAGGGTATGCAGGATCCCGGACTCCAGCTGAGCCCACAGTCCTCAACCCCAGGGGACTCTGGGGGCAGGGCTGGTGGAGTGCCCCCCCCAGGATGAGGGGTAGGGACCCTCCCCAGCCATGTCACCTGCGCTTTCTCTGTTCCGATGGGACTCTCTTGATCTTCTGCCCACTGCTGCCTGAAAGGCAGAGTCCCAGGCTCTGAGGCTGCTCCAAGGCCCCGGGGGCCACAGCCCCAGGCTGACTGTGTTGTGGGATTTAGTACTTGTTTTTTGGCTGGAGGTGAACTCTCTCATTCTTCCCAGGCCTCCCCTCCCTGCTGGGGACACCTGCTGCGTCCTGCCTTTGCCTTTCTTCCTCCCTTAAGGCACCCTTGACTCCTGATACTAAGACAGGATGGCTGGAAGTCCTGAGAACACCCTTGAGTCCCACAGCCAGTGGGCAGGAGGGCGGGTCCAGCCCACTGCAGTCAGGTATAGGGTCCCTTACCCCAGCTCCCCTAGGAAGGAAGTGTCCCCTCCCCCAAACAACACAAACCCACAAACCATATTTTTTAAATACCCTAGAAGGATCCCAGCAGCCTGAGGGTGTTTCTGGTCCAGACCCTCCCCAGACACTCATCTCTGCAGCTCTTCCTGGCCTCCTTGTGGTCTGACCTCCTCCTGCACTCTTCCTTCTGCTCCACCTATCTGTAACTGCTTGCCCCTCCCTAATCCCTCTACTTCAGGCCCTGCACTCCACCCTCCTCAGCCCCTCCCAAGGCTGGGCAGGCTCTTAAAGTTCTGCAAGGCTGGGCTTCCACTTGACAGGAGGCCCAGAGTGGGTGGTGGGTCGACAAGCCATTGCATTGCCTCTGCCTTCTCTTTCTCCCAAATTTCCCGCTCCGTGCCTGTGTCCAACCCCATGCTCCCATCTCTCCCCTGCTGGAAGTTTCCCCACATTTTCCATCCTTGAGGTCTCTGAGGCAGAACCTGGTACATTTGTGTGCTTGTTTTGTACGCAAGTCTGGCTCACAGGCATGTGTGTTTATGTGTACTGTGTGCATGGTTCTTGTGTGTGTGTGTGTTTATGTAAGTGCCTGGGTGTGTGATGTGCTGGCCACATACACATGTGTGTATGTATGTGTGTGCACATATGTGTACGTGTATGTGTGTGTGTCTGGGTTGCACATGGATGTGCACCATTACACATAGGTGCTGTCATACATTTCGGGGTACCTGCTGATCAAGGCTGTGGCCCCTTGGAGGACTAGTACCACAGCCTCATTCCCTAGCTCCCTTAAGCCCCTGGTCACCACCCCTTCCCCAGGCCCAGGCCTTCCCTGTGGAGAGAAGCAGGAGGGATTTGCACATTTGCCTTCTCAGCCATCCTGTCCCACCCCCAGAAGGGTCCCTCCTCAGATGACTGACATATCCCTGGCTTCAGGCCAAGCAGAAGCCCCCATTTCATTGGCTAAGGAACTGAGGCCTCAGAAAGGGCACAGAGCCCTCCCCATTGGCTGGTCATAAGTCTTTCCTCCTGGCCTAGAGGACTGGGCAGGTGGGGGTGAAGGGGAGCTCCCCATGGGAGCAAGCAGGAGAGAGACAGATGGCAAGGAGCAAGAGTGGCAGAGCCCTCAGGGGACAGGCAGGGCTGGTGGGGCTGGGGTAGCTCAAAACTGGGGTGGTATCCCTGAACAATCTAGGACCACGGCACTGCAGTTGGATGGGTTTGCTTGGTCCAGGAGTGTTTACACAAAAATCTGAGCAGAGGCCAGCACTGGAGGCTTTACTGGTTTTTTCTGCTCATTTCTTTGGGGAAGAGTAGGATGCCAGCTTAAAATCGATTTTTAGCAATAATGGACTCCGTTTCTCAGTTCCCGGCACAGAGCTGCAATGCAAAAGAGAGAGTGTCACTTGGGCCCCTGTGGGAGGGCAGGGGGAGAAGGGAGAGCCTGGAGGCCTCTTGATGGGGGCATTAGGAGTCAGAAGGCCTCCTGTTGCACGCTGATGAGCAGCAAGCTGGCTTTCTACTGTGTCCATTCATTGCCAGGAAGTAAGTGCGCTAGGAAGCCCGTTGCCTCACTCTCCTCTCCATGGAAGTAGCCTGGGTCCCCGGACTGGGGGCATCAGACTGTCCCCAGGGCAGACTCTAGTGCAGGCATTTTTGTTGTGGGCAAGGCCATTTAACCCCTGGGTGGGAGGCCACTTTGGCTCCAGCTCCCTGCCCTGGCCCTGGAATGCTCACCCTCCATGGTCCCCAGCCCTCCTCCAGCCCTGGCCTTGGTGCTGCACCTCAGTGCACTGGAACCTTGTTTCCAGCAGCCTTTATGAGATCACTGAGGTGGAGACTTCACAGCCTTCTTCATGCCCTGCCTGGCCCCTAATTCCACTGTTCACCACCATCACCCGTATGTGAGGACTGGGCTGTACCTACACATGCTAGCACAGCCCCCTCTTCAGAGCTACTGCTAGGCAGGCCCTCACTTACTCTTTCCTATCTCCTTGAGGTGATAAGGCCAAGGCCAGTGGCTGGAGAAAATTGACTTTCCCTTCAATGGTGGCCCTCTTAATCCCTGGCTTGTTGAAACCCAGGCAAGCACCAGGTGAGTTTGTATCTTCCCCCTTCTGAACCTCCTGTGGCTCATCAGCTTTGAGTGGTTTCTCTGATGGATTTTCTGGTGGCACATCAGTGGGCTTTTCCAGCTTCAGCTCTTCTCTGATGGGCTGGGCAGCAGGTTCCTTGGTGGGGTCCATGGTCTTCTGGGATGGAGCTTTGATTAAGTGCTCCAAGTTGGGCAGGTCCTTGGTGCTAGAGGCCATGACCAGGGAAGATGCTAAGTTGACTAAGTCGGCCAGGCCAATGGCTGATGGAAGACTGGAAGAGGACAGGCAGGGGCTGGACAGTGTCTGGGAACTTCTGGCTACCTTGGTCCGGAGCTGCTTCTTGGAGGACAGGAGCTGCTTCTTGGAGGACAGGGTGTTGTTGGGGACGGTGTTGTTGGGGACAGTGTTGTTGGGGACGGTGATGTTGGGGACTGATTCCTGGTCCGTGCATCTAGAGGTCTTCATGTCTGTGATGTTCTTGCTGGGCTCCACGAGTGTTGCCCTTTCTATGCTGTGTTCTGAGGCCTGAATATGCTTCTCTGCCCAGAAGAGGTGCCTGTAGGTCTGCACAGAGACGGAATGATGGCCGATGGACAGCTGTTCCTCCTCCACGGAGTTCAGGCAACTATGGTTTGATTTTAGGCTGCCCAGGCTGAGGTTCTGCTCCTTGTAGGAGGAGAAGGGACTTACACTGTCCCTCTGCTGCTCAAGGGCTTTGTCACAGAACTTCACGTTGGAGACCTGCCACTCTGGCTCTGTGTCAAACATGGGCTCAGACTTGGATGAGGGTAACTTGAGCTCTGGTTTGATCTCTAGGTCTGTCTCCAGATCCGAGTCAAGGTCTGGGTCTACATCGGGTGATAGCTCTTGTTCTAGTAGTTCTGCTTCTAGCTGCAAGGATGCAAGGCAGGGCTTCTTGAGGGGACAGAGGCCCCCTTCCCACTGAAGCCACCCTACCTACCCCACAGAGCCCTGTCACCCACTCTGTCTCTTTCTATCATGGGACTTTCATACCCCAATACCAGTTGAGGCCCCAAGAGGAAGATGAGTACATCTGGGTACATCTGAAAGCTGAGAAGCAAGCAAGAGCCAGAGAACCCTGCCCCTGAAGTCCTCTCCCCTCCACTGGATTCTGCTCACTTCCTCCCTCACACTTACCTCTTCAGCAAAGATCGACCTGGGGATAGGGAGGCAGTGTGGGCAGGTGATGAGGGTGGGGTGTGGTAGTGTAAGCATGTCCACATTGGCCTGATGCCAGGGTGCCAGAATTGTCAAGGGCAGGGCTGGTCAGGATTTAGGGAAGATGAATCTCAACAAACACTGTCTCTGACTACTGCCTCCCCATAACAGGTGACCCTGTCCACTGTTACCTCCATCTCATCTTCCTCTTGGGGCTCCAACTGTTTTTGGGGTACGTAACTCCTATGATAGAAGGAGACAGAGTGGGTGGCAGGGCTCTATGGGGTAGGTAGGGTGGCTTCAGTGGGAAGGGGACCTCTGTCCCCTCAAGAACCCCTGCCTTGTTATAGAGGCTGGCAAGATGCCCCCACCTTATCTGCCCCTAGCTGCTCCCTCCCCACCCCAAGAATTCTAGAGTGGTATTTCCAAACTTCATTGAGTTTAAGGAGCTCCTAGAGAGGGTGTCAACTCATCCCTCTTCCCCAAAAAGGGATTCAGTTAGTTGGAGGAGGTGAGGCCCAGGAATCTTCATTTTTATCGAGCATAAAATCCAAGGGGTTCTCTCAGTTCACTTTGAGAACCAATGCTCAGGAAGTGAGTACATGAGTTTGACAGTGGTAGCAGGGAGTAGGACATCATGCCTGGAAAAGCAGAGGGTCAAAAAGACCCTCAATGAAATGATTAAGCACTGGCTGCAACAATGGACTCAAGCCTAACAATGCTTGTGAGGGTGGTGCAGGATGGGGCGGTGCTTCATTCTGTTGTATATGGGATCGCATGAATGGACCCACTGACGGCCCTTAACAACAACAAGCAGGGGTACGGCTGGGGGTCCTGGAGAGTAGGGGGAAGCATTCCTACAGTGATGGGGGGTAGTTCTCACAGTGAATCCAGAACGTCCACTGATCCCTTGCAACAGCAGGGAAATCCACTGGCACCTGGCAGGGAGAAGAAGGTGAGGGTGGGTGAGCTGCGGGGCAGGGGACAGTCTGAGGGACTCTGGAGCCAGGGTTGGGTCCTCCATCCCACGCTTCCCCTCCCTCCTTCCCTGACCCTTCATTCAGCCCATTTGCCACCCTCTCTCCCATCCTGTCCCTCCTATCCTCTCTCCCTTGCCAGTGTCACTAAGGGCCAGTGACACTATCCTGTCCTCCATGTCTACGCCCCTCACTCATCACCTTTGCCTTTCTTCCAGCTCTTTGTACTCTACCACTGTCCTCCATAGGGCTAAGGTTAGCAGTATTAGGTCCCAATTTTCAAATGCTTACTATGGGTCAGGCACTGCGCGGAGCACTTTGTGCTTTGTCTCACTAATTGAACACAAAAACGCAATGCCTCCCAAACAAAATGTTCCCCTCCCCCCGTTTCCCCGGTAAACTAATAATCTTTGTTTTTTTATTTTTTTTCTCTATCTCTCTATTTATTTATTTTTCCCCAACCTGTCTAAGAATTTAGCCTTCCTTTCCCTCCCATCCCTGGTAACCAACAAAGAAAATTTCCTTCTATGTATAAACCTTTCCTTGACTTTTTAACGATAATGGACTAATATAATATTTGTCCTATGATTGACTTATTTCACTCAGCATAATGTCCTCCAAGTTCATCCACATTATGTGGTATTTTGCAGATTCTACATTATTCTTTAGCGTTGCATAGTATTCCATTGTATGTATGTACCACAGTTTGGTTATCCATTCTTCAGTTGTTGGACATTCAGGTTGTTTGCATTTCTTTGCTATTGTGAATGCTGCAGTGAACATGGGTGTGCATATGTCTGTTTGTGTCCTGCCTCTCCCTTCTTTAGGACATATACCTAGTAATGGGATTGCTGGATCAAATGGTATTCCTATTTCCAACTTTTGAAGGAATCACCATACTGATTTCCACAGTGGCTATATCTTTTATAGTCCCACCAGCAGTGTATGAGAGTCCCAAACTGTAGGAGTAGAAGGGACTTACACTGTCTCTCTGCTGCTCAAGGCCTTTGTCACAGAACTTCACGTTGGTGACCTTCCACCCTGGCTCTGTGTCAAACATGGGATCAGGCTTGGGTGAGGGTAACTCATCAACATTTGTTATTTTCTGTCTTGTACAACTTTGCTATTAAAGCTGGGGTGAGGTGATATCTCATGGTTGTAAATCTTTACTTTACCAGAAAATTTTGTTGTTGTTTATTAGGTTTCAAGGCAAGAGGCAGTTGCCTCTAATAACAACCAATTCTTTTGCAATTCAAAGCAAAAACCTAATGTCTCCTTAAAGGAAACTTAAAATGGCAGAATTGAAAACCAGAGGATGGTAGAACTTAAAGATGTAGGAAGCATGTCTATTATGTTCAGAATTTCAGCAGAATAAATTGAATAATACTAGTTAGTGGAAAACGTTGTTTTCTGATGTATTGTGAATTCTATTTAATAAGAAGTTAATTAACAACAAAAAAATGAATATATTTCAGTTCTTAAAAAAAATAAAACTACATATTGCACACTAGGCAAATCTGCAGCAAAAGACCTTTTGAAAGTGTTAAAATGCAAAGATGGCATGTGAAACCTGAACAATAAGGAAGACCGAAGAAGAACTGAAGCATCTGAATTACTGTGCTGGCAAAGAATATTAAATGTACCATGGACTGCTAGAAGAATGAACTCATCTGTCTTGAAAGACATATAGCCAGATTGCTCCTTAGGAGTGAGGACAGTGAGACTTTGTCTCATGTACTTTGGACGTATTAGCAGGAGGGACATCATACCCGGAGAAGGACATCACACTTGCTAAAGTAGAGGGTCAGCAAAAAAGAGGAAGGCCCTCAACAAGATGGACTGACACAGTGGCTGCAACGATGGGCTCAAACATAGTAATGGCTGTGAAGATAGCACGGGACTGGGCAGCGTTTCATTCTATTGTTTAGGGGTTGCTATGAGTCAGAGCTGACTCGATGGCATCTAACGACAACAACATGCTTCAGTATCCAATATGCCAGATCAGGGCCTTGAGGGTCTTGGATCTGTTGGGTGGCTGGGCTAGGGCTGCGCCACCACCCAAAGGCCCCTAAGGGCCAGCTCTGTGATCTCTTCACACCTTCTACTTCCTTGACCACCCTTGGCTTCTTCTTCATCTACCATAAGTGCTGCTATTCCTCAGGCTCCTGAACTCAGAGCCTTCCTTTGCCTGCTTTAGAAAGTTTCCCTAGGTAATTTAATCAACACTCAGCCTCAGCCCTTCCATAACCAGCACCTGGGTGTAGGCAGGAGGAGAAGTTATCGTGACATGAACTGAGGATTGGAGGAAAGCATCTGAGGTTTCCTCAGCTTGGGACCGCTGTACTTGAATTGGAAAAATTCTGTTAGGGATTCCAGTGATGTTGAAATAATTGCCATTTCTAGCTGTTTGTTGCTAGTACACAGAACTATATTGATCCTTATATCTTGCAATCATGCTAACATTAGTTCTAGTTAGCTTTTTTTTGTAGGTTTCATAGGATTTTCTCCATAGATGATTGTGTGAATCAAGATAGCTTGACATTTTCCTCTCCTATCTCCAGTACAATGTTGAATAGAAGTGGTGAGAGTGGATATTCTTATTTTTTTCTTGTGTTTAGAGAGACAGAATTCAACCTTTCACCATTAAGTATGCTGTTAGATGTAGTGTTTTCCAGAGATGCATTTTATCAGGTTGAGGAAATTCCCTTCTATTCTTAGTTTGCATAGAGTTTTTCATTAGGAATGGATGTTGGGTTTTGTCTAATGTTTATTTATTTATATTTTTTTCCTGCATCTATTGAGATGACCATATGGTTTTTCTATCATCTTGTGGGCCTGGAGTTTCTTTGTGGGAAGAAGTGTACTTACAAATTCAACTTTTAAAAATAGATACAGGACTATTTAGACTATTTCTTGAGTAATCTTTTGGAGTATGTATCTTTTGAGGAATTTATTTCATCTAAATTGTCACATTTATTGGTGTACATTGTTCCTAATATTCCCTTATTATTCTCATCATATCTGTCAAGTATGACCACAGGAGAATCTTTAATCTCTTTTTCTTACTCTTACTGTCTCCTGACCTCCGGACCCAAACACCAGTCACTGTCACTGATTGCACACCGAGGGATCTCAAATTCCTGGTCTAATACCATGCATCCTTGCTGGAACAGGAGCTGTCTCCTCTCTCTGGAATGCTCCTTGTCACTTATTGGTGATGCTGCTCAGGGCTAACCTCCTCCTGGAGACCTTCCAGACTCCAATCCATGGCCTTTGGTTAAAGGCTTCACTGCCAGAAGCCCTTGCCCTGACCCCACAGACCACTATCTGGGCACAAGGCCCCTTGCTGACCCTCAATTAGAGGTGTGCAGGGTATGTGGGTTGATACTTAGCACAGAGCCTGGCCCAAGGTGGGTGCGTAGCAAATGTCTGTGCAAAGAAATGAATTTGTCATCTCTCTGAACCTGCCAACCCTGATGTTTCTCCTTTGCTGTTGCTTTTTCTTTTTTTATTGTGATTTGGGTGAAAGTTTACAGAGCAAATTCACTTTCCATACAGAAGTTCACATACACTTTGTCTCATGACATTGACTACAATTTAATCCAATGCAACAGCTCCCCTCCCACTTCCCCTGCTAGTTACCTCTTCCCTGTGTCCATCCCTCCATGCATTCCTGCCCCCTGAACTGTCTCCCTGTCATAAGCAGCCCTTCTTTCTCCCATGCTTGTTCTCTTCAAGGAGTGTATCTATGTCAGGTACATGTTCAATTCATATGCCTGTCTATTTTTGGCTGGAAGCCACAGGTATGGGTTCAATTCCACCTGAAGGGCAACGAGGGGCCATAGCCTCAGTGGTTCCACCAGTCTTTATCAGACCAGCAAACCTGGTCTCCTCACCCCTTTTATTTTTCCCAAATGATTTTGAGTTTTGTTCCACATTGTTCTCCCTCTCTATCCAGGATCTCCTACAGAGATCCCCCTCTGAGTGATTGACAGTGGTAGCCGGGCACCATCTAGTTATCGTCTCATAGTTGTATGGTATACCAGTCGCGAGGACTAATTCTTTCCATGAATCTTTGGTTTTCTTCTTTCTTCTTTGCTCTGGACGAGGAGAGACCCATCGCTACATCTAGATGGCTGCTTGCAAGCTTTTAAGATCCCAGTTGCTACTAGGCAAAGGAGGAGGTGGAACAATGTTTGGTGCAGTATGTTATGCCAGTTGAGCTTGATGTCCCCTGTGACTATGGTCCTGAGCCCACAGGTTCAACTACTCGCTCCCTCTGGGTAGCTGGCTGTGACCAAGAAGTGACTACAACCTTGTCCCTTGTCAGCTCTACTATACCCCTGGGAATTCTTACAGAACATACAAATACACTTGTAGAACCATTGTCTGCCAGCCCTATACATGGTCTTGGGTACACTCCCTGCTGCATGTTGTTGTTAAATGTCGTCGAGTTGGACCGACTCATAGCGACCCCTCCTTGGGTTTCCGAGGCAGTATCACTACGGAAGTAGATTGCCCCATCTTCCTTCAGAGGAGTGGCTGGTGGGTTTGAACCGCCAACCTTCTGGTTAGCAGTCAAGTGCCTTAGGCACTACGCTACCAGAGCTCCCCCGTGCTGCATAGACATACCTAATAGTTCAGCCTGTCCACCCATCTTTTCACCCGTATACTCGTGTTTGCCTTCACTGACAAAGCAGTACTGTACGTCTTTGGCATATTTTTAATGCTAGCCCATGTACTCCTGAGAGTGATGGTCCCAAGACGAAACCCTCATTTCAATGGGGATTTGAGCCCCAAATGGGAAGGGGAGTCCATGAGGCTTGAGAGGCAAACACTTGTTCATTGGTGATCTAAGCAAGACACCAAAGAGGTCAAGAATTATCTGTTGAAGAACACTGCTCCTCCCTGTGGTAAAAGCACCAAGCATCAATCTAGGACAACGACGTAATGTTTTCGATGATCTGTAGTTATATGGTAATTCGCAGCTGTTTGCTGGGCACAAACCACTGCCCCTTTCGTGGGCCCAGGGCCCCCCCAAGAGCAGCACTGTGAGTGCCTGCCTTTACTCCGGGATGTGCATGTGCGCCCGTGTGCGCACACATATCTGTGCACGGCACTGGGGCGAAGGCTGGGTGTGGAGGTCCGGACATCAGCTATCCTTTTACCCCGCGGATGGCAGGGGCTTGGCTAGGTCATTTCCTCTTCCGCGCACGGCACTTTGGGAGCCTGCGGAGCCGCCCGGGGTGGAGTCCTGGTCTCCCCCTCCGCGCCCCGCCCTCACCTTCACTTTCCCTGCCCCGCCCCCTTCTCGAGCCCTCGGCGCGCCCGAGCCGGCTGTCCCTCAGCGTCCGCCCCGCCGGGCCCGCGCGCTCGCCCACTCCCACCTGTCAACCACATGCTGATCGTGGATTTGTCGGGGAGGCGGGGAGCCGGCTGGTAGATGCTGCCTCTCCGCCTCCAGTGCGCTCTTTGCCTGGGGGCGGGGGTTGGGAGGCGGGGGCTATGCTGGGGGTGCTGGCGCCTGTGACGTCTCCGCGTCTGTGACGTCCCGGACGCGACCCCGCGGGCAGGGGACAGCATCTAGGATTCCCGGGGCCGCTAGTGGCGCGGGGTAGGGGCTGCAGAAGGAGGCGTGGTGGCCGAGGCAAACGGAGCAGGTTCCTGGCAGGGCAGGAGGGTGGCCACTGTGGGGCCTCTTCTTGGAGGTAGGCTGCCCTGCCCACACCAGCAACCAGAGCCCTTTCCTTCTTCCCGCCCTAGACCTTAGGCACATTGGCAGCAGGTCTGACTGAGGTGCACAGCAGCTGAAAGCCGGGATGGCACTCTTCACCTGGCCAGGGCACACTGGGCACAGGCCACTCCCCCTCCATGGGTCAAAGACCTTTCCAAGAACCCCGGCAGTGTAGGTGTGCCGGAGTGCACCCACATCTGTATGCAGCTTCAGGGGCATGGAGCCAGACTGCATGGGCACTGTTGCAGCCTGTGGCATTCAACCTCGGACAGGCCCAGCGGTTGGCCAAGGCACCCACTCCTGAAAGTCATCGCTGGTTGCTTGTGGCTCAGGAGGCAACTGGCGGGAGGGGAGTCCAGCCTCAGACAGGGACAGGAGCAGATCTGTTCTGGGTATGTGGTCTGCATCCCACCTCTCCAAGCCAGGTCAAAGCCCAGTGCCCATCCCTTACTTCTTTCTGGTATCACCAGGCTGCCCAATACGTGTGCAGGCCTTGGCACCCTCCTCCTCCCCCGTGGGCTGCCAGCATATGGTCAGGGACTTCCCTGCTGCCACTGGGTGGGGCATCTTACCCAACTGGTCTAAATGGAGAGTCCAGAGTGGGTTGGAACACACACTCAAGGACTGAAAAGTCTTTGCCCAAAACAAGAGGCCACTTTGAAAAGAACCCTTCTCTAAGAAGGTGGGAGAAGGCAGTGGTTAGGACCAGGTGTTTAACAAGCAGTAGGCAAGAGTGGGAACACCCATGGCCTAGAAGACACTTGTCACCCCAAACTTCGTTTACTTTTCACATTTTTATTGTGATTTGGGTGAAAGTTTAACCTGATTAACTTTACTGATTATGGTTCTCTCCACCTCGACTCTGTGGCACCAAGGCTGCTGGTCTTCACGTGTTGGGGGCCAGGGGGCTCTCCTGGGTAACAGTACGGCTCAACATGAATGGCTGGACAGACATCACCTTGGCAAAATGTGGGAACAATCTTCCTGAAACCTGGTAAGGTGCTGTTCCCCAAGGAGGTTTTTCAGGGGACCCCCCACAATCCCAGGAGGCTGGGGCTGGTGGGTCCCTCACCCCCAAAAATTCACAGTTGATTTAATGCTACATCTGTCCTGATAGGCCCCCCTGGGCTAGGACAGTGGGGAGGGGGAGGTTTGAGGGGTCAAGTGAGTGTAGACAGGTCAAGACTTGGGTGCCTTCACCCTGTCTCCTGATGTCAGTACTTGTGCTCATGCAGAGCTGTGGACCTGCCCTCCTGGAGGACAGCTATGAAAGTGCTTTGAGGTCATCAGAGTACAAAGTGCAGCTGGCAGTGGCTGCAGGCAGGGGCAGAGTGGGGTCAGTGTGGGTGTGAGGTCCAGGATGTGACCTTGGGGAAGAAGCATGCTGGTGTCAAAGATGGGGGCCGGCAATCATGGTGGCTGTGTGCTGCATTCCTCTGCATCTATCACGTCCCGTCCTTGGACCACTCTGGTCAAGTGGGTCTCGTGTCTACCCTTTACTTTTACGGATGAGGGAACTCAGGCAGTGCTGGCCTGCAGTGGGGGTTCTGGCTGCCAGGACGGCTTGCTGCTCCAGGGAAGGTGCCAGCTAGCAGCAAAGGGTGCATGCTTGGGGACTGAGAACCATTCCACTTAAACACCTTCTTTGGTTCTTGGTTGAAGCCAAGTTCAACTCAGGATCTATGTGGTAACAACCTGAAAAGCAGGGTGGTAGTTCCCAGGCAGACTGCCCAATGTCAGGGATTCCCTCCTCCCCGACTTCATCCCAACAGTTCTAGATCTAAAAGGGAGTTAGATGGCCAGCAAAGGCCAGAGGAGGGGGCACGGGCCCTCCATTAACCCAAGGCAGGCACACTTGCTGCCTTGTTTTGTACCAGACCGGAGTGTGGGCTCTCAGACACTGACTTAGACATGACCCAAAGGCCAAGGAGCCAGGGGGCTCACCCACCCGACTGCCAGCAAGGGCTCGCTGATCCAAACGGAACAGGCCTGCTTGTTAGGCTGAGAGCAGAGAAGACGCTCTTCATTCCTGGCTGGAAGAGCTTGCATGCTTTCCTTCTCCTCCTCCTCTCGTGGGCAGTGTTCTCTTGGTGGGGTCTGGCGGGACGCAGGCAGGAAATCCTGGGTGGGGTTTGTTAGTCCCACTTTGCTGCTGCCAGACCCTGGTCCCACTGATGAGCCAGGGGAGCAGGCTTAGCCTGTGTCTCATGGGCAGCATCTAGCTGCTGAGAAGGCAGGTGGTTTCGGCAGAGCAGAGCAGTGGAAGGCAGGGCTAGGGCCTGTTCTCCAGCTGGCCATGCTTGACCCTCCAGCTCCAGGCGAAGCTGCCATCAGGGGCCAGGGTGCACTGTAGGTCAATGCCTGAGTCTGGCACCTCCATGTCATAGCGCACGGGCTGGCCATCCTTGGTCACCAAGCTGAAGGCTGAGGCTGGAATCTAGGGGCAGAACAAACCAGTGTGCCTGAGAAAGCTGGCGTGGAGCTCAGAAGCCACCCAGAAGTGTAAGGCTGATGGTCCCCACCATGTTGGGAAAGCACATCGTCCTCCAGCCAAGCAGGTAGCCCTGAGGGCCTTATCTGCCTTTCATTCTGGAGCCCTTAGATAATCTGCTTCGCCCCACTGCCAGTCTTGCTCTGAGTCCCCAGCCCTGGGGCACATTTGAGGTCACATCCAGCTCTTCCATAGAGTGCCATTTCTACTTTCAAAAACTTTCCTCCCAGAGAGCTGGGCCAAGCACACTGACTTCAAGGACTTTAACCCTAAGCAGGTACCTGTCCTCTTACCTGGCTGCTGATGCCGGTTGCGATGTCTCCCACCTTGACCCGGTGGAAATCCCGGATGTGCAGATGTTCGCCATTGAGGGACTGTATCTGGACTTTCACACCTAGAAGGCAAGGTGACAGTCAGGAGGCTGCCTCCCTGAGGAACAGGGTCCTGGGAGGGGTTGGCGGGACCTTCTGTTAAAAAGTCACTCTGTCCTATGTAGAGGGAAGCAGGTCTGGCTGGGACAAAGCTGCAGAAATGCCAGCAAGCCTATAGTGGCCCTGACATTACACACCTGCTAGTTCTTCCTGGCAGTTTTCTGGCAATCCCTAGAATGTGGCCTACGTGGGGCAAAGAGTTGAGGTTGGCTCTTATGGGGAAGTCATATTCCAAACTGGACACAGTAAAAAGGAACTGAAAACAAAGATTCTGAAATTAGATTCTGCAGCAGCTCTGGCCAGGCCATGGGGGCTTCATGTCATGAGTCATACTGGCTGTGGGGCGAGCCAGCAAACCGAGCCTCCTCCTCTCAAGGTCATAACATGACCTGTGCAGCCAAGCTTGAAACCAAGAAATTAGACATTGCTTTTCTCATTTTCTGACCTCAAATCTCAGAGCAGGATTCCAGGGTGTGTAACCGATGGCACCAACAAACTTGTAGCTAAGTTCTTGATGAAAATACTCAGTCCTCCTGTTCTTTTCCCTTTAGAAGATGCTAGCTGATCAGCTTCTTGACTTCAGGCCAGGAGAGACTTCTCTCCTCCCTCAGTTAGGGGGGACTCTGGGACTCCAGCAGCAGCCAACCAGTGAGGGGACACTAGTTCTCCACTGCCTCACTAGCAAAGGCTCCCGGGGAATGATGGCCTTTGCTCTAAACCCAACTGACTAGCCAGGCACCTGAAGGCCTGGGTGCCAGGTGCCTTCCTTGCACTTCCCTACTATGTCAGAGGAAGGGGGACAGATGAGCTGTTGTGGGGGATGCTGGGCAGGTGAGTGGGGGCTATACCGTTGAAATGGCTCGGGGTGTCTGTGGGCCGCCCCCGGGCCAGCACCGTGTTCCAGCTGGAGCTGCGAGCCTCGGCCTGGCTGCCCCATGAGTGCACGCCGGAGCTCAGGGTATCCCGCGAGCTCTGGGAGGCCTTTGATGGGTTCTGAAACAACAAAGGTGGACACAGACTCAGGCCCCCGGGCCCAGGGAACCACCTTTGGCCATGGTCTCATTTAGGCCAAAGGAGCACTCCCTGAGGACAGGCGCTCCCATCCTAGGCTGGAGCACAGCTCTATAGGGCACTGTGAAGGCTAAGCAGGGACTGAGCTCATGAGGGGCCCCTGGGCTGGAGGCAGATAAGGAGTATTTCGAGGCGGACCACAGTCTACCTCCATGCTATCCCCAGTAGCCAAAACCCATTCCCTAATCCCTCAATGTTGAAAATGGGTTATCTTACCCTGAGAAACTATGACCCCCCTCAGCAGGACCTCTCCCAGAAAGAAGCCCCTTCACCTTCCCTTTACCCATTTCTTGCACACTGTCCATTCACCAGCTGGACACAAAACCACTTGCTCTGTGCCAGAGCCAGGAGAGCCATGCCCCTGGAGTGACATCTGTCCCACAGCCAACTCACCTTCTCGCTGTCATCCGACAGGGAAAGGCTGTCGACACTGAGGCAGGACAGGATCTGCTCTTGCTCCTCCAGAGAGAATGGCTGGGATAGGCTGTTGAGAAGTAATTCTGCAGAGAAAGTAGGAGACAGCTATGAAGCCTGGGAAGGACCTGGCTTTGTGGTCAGGGTTCCTCTTGGAAGAAAACCACGCTGGATATAGAAGAAGAAGCACCAGCCTTGGTGGGAGGCCCAGGGCCAGTGCTCAGGGCCCCAGGGGCCCCAGGGCCATGGCCGCAGCCAGGACTGCTCATACCTATTTCCAGCTGCTGCAGCTCCTGCTCAGGGAAGGTCACTCTGCGCTCTGGTGAGCTGGGGCTTTTGGGAGGGGCTGGTTCCAGGGAGGACAGAGGCAAGGGTTCCCATGTCCCAGACTCCTCCTTGCTCAAGTTCAGTCCTGGAGACTTGTTCCGCTCTGGGGGATCTGGTGGTAGAGGAGGCTGGAGCTCCGGAGCTCCGCCCACTGTGTCCTTCGCTGGCTGGGGCCCCAGGGCCCCTGGAATGAGTTCCCTTGGCTGGGTGCGTAGGGTCTGGTGACAGTTTGTTTGGGTTGGTGGCAAATGTCTTGGTTCCTTATATTCTCCTCTCCAAGGACTCGTCAGACCTCCCACTGCAAAACAGCACGGCAGAGAGTTGGAATCCTGTCAGCATACAGACGCCGCTTGGGTCACATCAGGAGTATCCTTCTTGAACAGAAGAGGGCTACACCTGAGCCACGTGGGAGGACTCTGGCTGAGCCTCATCGGGGAGACCACTCAGGAGACAGCAAGGGTCTCCGAAGAGGGCCTTTTAGGCAAGATGGCCTCACAAAATGGGAACGGGACCGTATTGGTCTTTTATCACATTTCCCTTCTGGTAATGGGAACGAATTGAAAAACCACAGAACTGGCTTCACAGAAGGGTTTTGTTATAGCAAAGGAAGATTGAAAAACAGCTCTGAGGCAACACCACCAAGGGTTCCCTGGTAAAGTGCCCTCCCTGAGTGCCCCCGACCAAGGTCAGCGCTTCCTGAAGGCACCATTGCTCTGGGACCACCCTCATAAATACATAATTACAACTACATCCAGTTTGGGGGTAGGAGGCTGTGCAAGGCCCCCTTCCTGTTGTATTTCTTTCCACTGAATTTCCACAGCCTCTCTTTCCCTGCCGGTTCCCCAGGTGACATTCTATTTGATGTGTCACTTTTTGTTTGATCATGTTCTTGCAGAATGGGTATAGTTTTTATTTATCAATGTGTTCTCTGCCTCACTGTGGGTTTCTTTTCATGCAGCACTCAGCTTACCCGGTCATGCTCTGTGGACACCTAACTGTAGCTCTGACTGCTGCCTGGCGCTCCCTGGCGCATTCCTTTTACCTTTCCACTCTCCCGGTGAGGGTGGGACTATACCCAACTTTCCTCCCACGGATGGGGCAGTGCAGACCCTCTGGCGTGTCCCCTGGGAAGTGCACCCAGGAGTGGAGGTCTGCAGATGTCTGCTTGAGCGTTGCCAGACGCCCTCCAGAGAGGCTGCAGCCTCATCCACATGCCTCGGCAGGGCTCAGGGTCCCATTTCCCACCAACACGTGGCTCTCATCTTTCTGCTTTTTCCCAGTCAGAAGGCTGTAAAGGGACACCTGGTTTTATTTTACATTCTGGTTACTGAGGAGATTGAGGCCCTTTTTACATGTGGTGACCCTTTCTCCCCCCATCTCTTTTGCATCTTCCCTTTTACAAGGCACAGCACTAAGTGGTTTTACTCCCATCATCTCGATCTCCCTAACATCTCTGAGGCTAGTATATGCCTACATTCTAGACAGGTAACTCAGGCTCCCACGTGACTGTCTTGCGTTTGCCCACAACACTCCCTGCCTCCTGGCTTAGCCCAGGGCTCTCAGCCCTGGGGTGGGGGGAGGGGGACCGCAGCGGCATGGGCTTTTACCTTGCTGCAGGGCCAGGCTGACCTTGCCTCCGAGCTCCATTGCAGACGCTCTGTGGAGGGGCTCTTTCCTCAGCCCCTCTTGGATGGCCTGGGTCGTGAGAGGGGCGCAGGAAGGTGGGATCTCCCTCACAGGCGGGGGCTCACTGGCAATCTGCGGATCAAAAGACACCACGGTGAGGCCTGCAACCCTTGTTTCCCAGCACCCAGTCTTTCGGTTCTCGCCCCATGCTGTGCTGGACAGGCTTGTTACTAGGAATGGATAGGCCCAGGGTGGAGCGAAGGCTGAGACTTTTCCTAGAAAAGGGAAAAAGGGGTAGGCCAGGCAGGCCAGGGTGCAGGAATGAGCCCTATGTCCTCTAGGCCCAGCCTGTTAAGAGGCAGGTGACAGTGGCCCAAGGTGTGGACTGAGATTTCTGACCCACCATGAACTCAGTGAGACCCTCACCTGGGATCTCTCCTTACGCCCTCCAATCTGGGTGGCCAGCATTTCAGTCAGGACCCACATTTATGCTGAGGTTTTCCCCCTCTCCCTGCTCACACCTGAAGAGCAGCCAAAATGGGAGGCCACCCTGCACCTGCAGCCCAGGCCCCGTGACCACCCCTGGCGCTGTCACTGACCTTGAGAAAGAGTGGCCCCAGGAAGTACTGAGTCCAAGGGTGGCAGCCATTGAGCATGTGCAGCATCATGCAGCAGCTGCTCCAGATGTCTACCTTAGTGTCACAGGGCTTGCCCAGCACCACCTCTGGAGCCATGTGGGTCTCTGTGCCAGGGATGTAGTCCCCTGAGAAGGTGAAGGTGGGACAGAAAAGTCAACTGTCAACTCAGGCAAGAGCCTGGGCAAGGGCTACATCAGTCAATTCCTGGGATGGTGACTGTCCCCGTGAAAGCACTCCAGCTAGAGAGACAAAGCCTCCAGCCAAACTTACTGGGGCGAGCTAAGTCAGGGGTTCTGCTGGACCAGACAAAGCACATCTACAGCATGGACCAAACCCTTCAAGTGCCTCTGAAAAACGAGGAGGGGGCTGGACAATGGAAATCAGGTAGGAGACTAATTAATGGCATATCCCTGAGATACAAGAAGTGAGAGAAAACCAATTGTAGAATACTTATACGCATAAAAGTCTGGAGAGATCAATGCTGGATATGAACAGTGATTTCTGTCTGGTGATTTGGATTTTTTATTTTCAGTTAGCTCTACTTTCTGCAGTGAAAAGCTATTATTATTATTATTATTTTTTGAAAAGCTATTATTTTTTGTAGTAAGGAAAAAACTCCACTTGAATTTATTGGAATGTGGAAGTGAGGTGTCCATGGTCAGTATACAGCTTCAGAACTACCCACATAGTCCTTTAATGACAAAAAATTACATACACCCCACTTTTTCCTTTGGTCAAAATGAAATCATTTGAATGCTATAAATGAAAAGAGGAGGGCATACAACTGTGTTCCAGTGGTCTTAACTATACACAAAAGGGAAATGAAAAAATAAATAAAACCTGGAAGGAATTAGCTGAGATATTCATGATTATCTGGGCAAGAAAAATGGTGAGAATTCCTGGAGATCCTGGATAGAGTGGGAGGAAAAACATGGAACAACATTCAAAAACACATAATGACCAGAATTACTGGTTGGATGGAGTCTGTTGGGACCCCCATGGCCCTGGAATACACTTCAGGCCTGGGATAAAACTCAAAAGAAAAAAAAAAATTAGACTTAAAAAAAAAAAAATGGTGAGGATTCTTTTTCACCCCTCCTCTTTTATATCACTTAACTCTGTACTTGCTAAATGTTTGGGCATAGATTATTCTAATTATCAGAAAAATGTAAGTTGAAAGTAGGTATTTCTCCAGCTACAGAGCCCAGGCCCCTTGGTCAGCCCCCCCATGCTTCTAGTCAACTGTGCTCTCAGAGGTACAAAGAGCTGGGGTCTCAGCCAGGAACACAGCTCCACCAAACAGACCAGACAAGAGTGATGGAGTCATGGGGGTTCTGAGGAAGAAGACCTGGGACCTTGGGCAAGGCCCCCTGGCCTTTCCATTCCCTCATCTGTGTAATGGGAACATCAGAAATGAGTGCCTGACATTCATTATTTAAGGATAACAACAAAAGCCTTATAATGACCCAGGGTTGCTGTGGGACTTCTGTAGACAGTGGTGGATGTAAAGTGCTCACATCTGTTATTCCCATTACAGAAAGCCAGGAGAAAGCCCATGGAGCATGCTCTGTAAGGGCTACTGCTGTTTGCATTGTGAGGAGGGGCAGTCTGGAGGCTTTACCTGTTAGCAATGTCTTCCCCAGGCCATCAGGTTGAAGGCACACAGCATGGCCAAAGTCGCAGAGGGCTGCACGGCTCCCATCACTGGACAGGAGCAGATTGTCAGCTGCCAGGCCGCCCCGAGGAGGAAGAGGAACAGGTGAGTCACATCGTGTCCCAAACCACCCTGCCACGGCTTGGCCTGGACGTCTAGTGAGGTCATTTTCTGGCTGACCCTACAGAGCAGCTGCTGCTTCTGCTCAGTTTCATTAGTTATGGGAGACAGGAGGAGAGTATCAACTCAGGCTAGCAGCAAGCAGCAGGCTGGATCTCTGAAGGTGAGGGGACAGGAGCAGGGTTTACTCCTGGGGGTACTGCCACCCAGTTCTGCTGCCCTCACCCTCTCCCAGTAGTCACCAGTGTATAGGAGCTTAGTCTTCAGTTCTGAGAGCACCACCCACTTGGAACTACAGCACCTGACTGAAGGCCTGGAGAACAGCCTTCCCCCTCTTACACCTGTCAGCCTGATTCAGGCCTTGCCACTTGGTGATGGGATTGGTTAGTTTTGCCACCCTGCTGGGCTTAAAGTGAGCCCTCCTAGAGGCGAGAGGAGGAACATCTATCTCTCACTGCTGGCTGAGAGTCTGACCTGTTACTGAGAGAGATGCCTGGCTGAGAGACGGCAGCAGTGGAACCAACAGGCATGAGACAGAGCGACAGACTTACCTGGCCCACAGAGGCAAAGGCCAAGGGCCACAGAGGTATGTCTAAGGGCACTCCAGAGGGGAAACTACCCTTACTGAGGAACTTACTCCTGAGTGCATTCCTGAATTTGAGTTGTAGCCTGTTGCTTCCCTAATAAACTCCATAATCTGTGAGTGGTGCTTGTGAGTTCTGCGTGGCCACTGCAATGAATTGTCAAGCCCAGCAGAGAGGCAGTGAGTGCTGCAGGAGGAACGGCTGGTGTCAAGGCTAGTGAGTGCTGGAGGGTGGCAGCATGTCTGACTTCATAGGAGCAGGCATTGGGCTGCTGATGCTGATTCTGTCCTCCTCTTGTGTAGTTAGAGGAGGTCAGAAGATGCCACCTCCTTGCTCCTTTAGCAGTTGGTGTCAGAAGCGGTGGGATTCATTGCAGTGGCCAAGCAGCACTCACAGACACCACTCACAGATTATGAGGTTTATTAGGGAAGCAACAGGCTACAACTCAGATTCAGGAATGTGCTCAGGATTCAGTTCCTCGGTCAGGACGGTCTCTCCTCTGCAGTGCCCTTAGACATGCCTCTGTGGCCCTTGGCCTTTCAGCCTGGTCTCTGCCTCTGTGGGCCAGGTTAGTCTGCCGCTCTGTCTCATGCCTCTTGGTTCCACTGCTGCTGTCTCTCAGCCTGGCATCTTTCAGTAATGGGTCAGTCTCTCAGCCATAGGTCGGACCCTCAGCCATGCAGCTCTCTCAGCCAGCAGTGAAAGATGTTCCTCCTCTCTGCCTCTAGGAGGGCTCACTTTAAGCCCAGCAGAGTGGCAAACCCAACCAATCCCAACACCAGGAATTCCACACACCTGAGAGAGAGAGAACTTCCCAGAAAATTGCTTCCTGCTGTTGGCAACAGAAATACCCCAGGTGAATAACTTTAACAATCAGGAGTTACTTAGTTGCTCATGGCAAATTCCACCATAGAATTTACAAAGACTGTGGCTAGAAAAGCCATACTATGTAATTTACTACACTGCACCAGTGGAGATGGTCAGATAGGCTTAGAATGGGGAAGAAGTCACCAGGCAGGATGGGGGAGGGAGGAGCTCACTGGGCACCAAGGCCACGGGGGCCTGGGCCTTACCTTTAACATCTCCGTGCAGAATCCTTCGTGTGTGCAGGTATTCCAGTCCCTCCAAGGCCTGGCCTAGGTAGTACAGGGCCCGGTCCTCTGGCAGACATCCCTTCTGCTTGATGAGCTGGCCTAGTGAGCCACCTAGGAGATCAATAGCCAGTCTTTTCATGGGGTTTTCCCAGGCCTCCAAGCAAACCAAGGGCAAGGGCAAAGGGGAGGTGGTGGAAAGGTAGGCCTTTCCTGCAGAAGTCACAGGGTCAAGAGGTTAAAAATGGATTAAGGGTCAAGATCACACTGGACAAGATTTTTGGGAAACTCCTTGCTCTAAATTTTGAGGGAGAAAGGAGTGGGACTTGGTGCCTTACCTTCTAGCAGTTCCATGAAGACGCTGACCCAAGGACCTTCCTTCACAGCACCATACAAAGGGACAATTCTGGGTGAGGTCAATCCTGCGCAGGCCACCAACTCCTCTGCCCGAAACACTTCGATCCGTACCTGTAAGGACCCAGAGGTGGTTGAGTCAATGATAAAGGAGACCAGGGCTGGTTTCTTTAGCATCCTTTCTGGACAGAATCTGGTGAACTCCTGCCTGGTCATATCTAGGCTCCACACACAGATTGCTGTTGTTTCCAGTGACAATCTGGAGGCCAGGTAGGGCCCTGGTGGGCCTGCAGAACCTTCAGAGACTAAATTATGCACCATGTGCTCTTGGTGTCAGAAGCAACTTCTTGTACTTTCTTAAAGTTCTGGAGTGCTGACCACGTGTGAAAACGCTTACACAAAAACCAGTCATTTGTCTAGGCTCCTGGCAGGCTGCCCACCCTCTGGTCAGCCAAACAGAGGACATTTTTACCCTTTTATCAACATCCAAGTCTGACTTAACTGAAGCTAGAGCGGATGCTGCTAAGATCTCATCTCAGGCATCCTGTGCAGAATCCTCAGCACCTTTCTCAGCATAGTTCTCCACTCATTTATAACTGTCTTTTTCAGAGGACTCAAAGCTTCATGCAGGCGGGGTCCTGTTGATGTTTACTCTATTTGCAGCTGTTTCCCCATTATCTGGACACATAGGCGGCATCATGGGATGTGCTGGCTGTGGAATGTATGCCTGAAAAGGCCATCCACTCTTTTCTGGAGGGAGTGGCCACTTGGCATGGTAGGAAAAACCAGGCTTTGGATGTGAACAATCCTGGGCTGAGGTCCTGGCTTGGCCATATCCAAAGGCACACTTCCGCTCAGTTGTGTTTCTGTATGTCAGTGGGGGGATGGTGGTATCTGTTCCTGGGTAGAGTGAAGATTTGGAGAGATGACAGCCAGCACCATGCCTGGGAAACAGCAGGTACTCAGGAAACGCTCCTTCCTCACCTGCTCCTTAGAGCTTGAGTAAGAGCAGCTTGTTAAGCACTTAGACTTCTTAATAGGGACAGGTCCTCTTTCCAGGCTGCTGGGGCTGATTCTTATATAAACTTTAAGCAGCATCAACAGGGGGTGCTGAAGTTACCAAAACCAGTCTGGGAGAAATCTGGGTCTTGGTCAGAGTTGTTTGTACATCTGCTGGTTTGCCAAACAGGAGCTCTGTTGATGTGGCACTTTGGGACTTCTGTCAGTGGAAACTGTCTCTCCTCCAGTTACTTGAAGAATATTTGGTTTGGTTAATCAACTCACATGAACTTCGACTCTTCATTGTCAGTGTTTCTAGCTCTTTAAAGGGTCTCTGAATCTGAGTTGGAATTAATTCACCAATAGGACTTGTATCAATAAATATGTAAGTGTTTTAACTTCACAGTTCCCAAACTGTGAGCTGAAGCCCCCAGGGCACCACAGAGAACTAGGGCTCCCAGGATGTTTTACGTCTGAGGCAAACATGAAGCTCAGCATCAGTGGGCACTGTGTGAACAACCAGCTCAAGTGAGCTCACGGTGTCATGGTGTCACAGGGTCAACGTTAGATCGCACTCAGATCCTTTGGATGACGTATTTGTGAGCTCACGGTGCCACCATTAGATCACACTCAGATCCTTCAGATGATGTATTTGTGAAGCTGGGCTTTTAGACTTTATTTTGATAAAAAGCAAGTGCTTCAGGAGAAAACTGTGGAACAAGAAATGGAGGTGGTGGTGTCCAATCTGATGTCAAGGCTTGAAAGGCTGGGCAGTACCCAACAAGGTCTACAACCCATTGGTAAGTAATTATGGTTAAGAGTGGAATAGTAGTGTTTTCTTACAGTCTCTGTGTATTTTTCAAATGGCTAAGAGGTTGTTAGGACAAATACTTATTACATTATTTGACCTAACGACTTGATAAATGGAGCTGTTAGCTATTTCTGGTGGCATAGTGCCTCAGGCATTTGACTGTTAACCAGAAAGGTGATGTTACCCATCAGCCACTCCTCGTAAGATTGGGTAATCTACTTACATAGTGATACTGCCTCAGAAACCCAAGGAGGGGTCACTATGCGTCGGATTGGACTCGAGGGCAATGAGTTTGGTTTTGGTAAAGCATCATGAAAATTGCTGAGACATTGAGGGCTGTGAACCAAACAAGTTTGGAAGCCTCTGCTTTAACCTTTAAAGAAACCTGTAAGTCTTCCATAGTGTACTCCAAACCCAAACTAAACTCACTGCTACTGAGTCAATTCTGACTCACAGCGACCCCCACTGGGTTTCCAAGGCTGTAAATCTTTATGGAAGCAGATTGCCTCATCTTTCTAGTGGAACGTCTGGTGGGCTCAAACGACCAACATTTTGGTTAGCAGTCAAACGCCTTAACCACTACACCACCATAGTGTATGTGGTAGTTAAGGCTATGGGTCAACCTGGTTGGACTTGGTTTTGAGTGGCTGGGCCGCTGGATGTAGTGATTCCCCATGATGAGACTGGTAATCAGCTCCATGGTGGAATCTGCTGTGAACAGGTGAGTAGCTGCCTTAGTGATGGCATCTGCTTCCAGCATAGAAGAAGCTTTGAGAAAGGTCTCTGAGCTTTTTGGCACATCTGGACTCTGCATTTGGCCAAGTCTTAATCTCAGTAGCCTGCCATGCTGTTTGCTGATCTTGGGACTGTTTCCAGACTTGCGCTAACGGCCTGCTGTGTTGCTTGATAATCTTTGCTCTGTGCCATTTTACTTGTGGACCTTGGATTTGTCAGCCTTAACAGACAGCAGCTGCCTGAGTTAAGAGAAGCCTCCATGGAAAATGACACCCAGAAAGGTGGGCCAGGAGCAAGAGGCAGAGCTGAAGCCCAAAGTCAAGGGGACTTCACCCAGCCCCTAGAGGTGGCACTTTGAACTTGGACCTTTATCCTCCTAAACTGTAAGAGAATAAACCTCTGTTTGTTAAAACCATCTACCTGGGGTATTTTTCTGTTAGAGCGGCACTAGAGAACCAAACTGCATACTAGTACTGTTAAAAATGTCTCCAATCACCTTGAACAAAAGTGAGGTGGTGCCAGGGAATACTTCAAAATACAAGGTGCTTCTTGAAGTCTGGGCCAGCCCCAGAGAGAGCAGGCTGAAAGGGCGTCACGTGGAGAGAAAGTGCCTGGCCTTAGTCCAGGTCCAGCTGCCTGTCTGGCCTCCCTCCCCTCTGGGTTTCAGTGTCCTCACCTGTGAGGGGCTGGGCTGTGTTGAGGATGTTAATGAGAACTAACATGTCAATGCCCACTTAACACTGAGCAGTCTAACTGTTCTAAGCACTTTATAAGCGTTGTTGTTATGTGCCATCGAGTCGGACCCAACTCATAGTGACCCCTCCTTGGGTTTCCGAGGCAGTATCACTATGGAAGTAGATTGCCCAACCTTCCTTATGAGTAGTGGCTGGTGGGTTTGAACCGCCAGCCTTCTGGCTAGCAGTCATGTGCCTTAGGCACTATGCTACTAGAGCTCCCTTATAAGCATTAGTTACTTACATCTTACAATAGCCAAGGAGGTGGTACATCATTATCCCCATCTTATGGATGAAAAAACAAAACAAAACAAAAAAAAAACTCACTGCCACTGAGTCGGATCCGACTCATAGCGACCCCTCCATGGGTTTCCAAGGTGGTATCACTATGGAAATAGATTGTCCAACCTTCCTTCTGAGGAGTGGCTGGTGGGTTTGAACCACCAGCCTTCTGCTTAGCAGTCATATGCCTTAGACACTGTGCCACCAGAGCTCCTTTATGGATGAAGAAGCTGAAATGTGGACAAGTAACTTGTCCAAAGTTATTGGGTAGAAGTATTAGGGCTGGGTTTTGGCCAGGGAAGCCTGACTCTAGAGCCACCAGCCACCCTGCCTTCCTGAAGGCCTTTCTGGGTGTCGTTTTCCACCTGAGCCCTGCAGGAGTCAGCACACCCAAGCAGGAGTGTGGTCAGCATCAACTCCAGCTGCCCTGCTCAAAGCAGCTTCCTTCCGCTCAACTGCCGCCTTAAAACTCTCCCTTCGTTTTCTTCAGTATTCTTAACCTTTTAATTTCCTCTGTAAAAAGGGAGACAACAGCTATTCTGTTAAGTTCTTTTAACGATTCCAGCTTGCTCTGACCCTCAGCAGCCTCACCTCTGGTTCCTGACCACCTCCGAGCCCCTTGGCGGAGGACTGTTTCTCATCCGGTCTTGTAGCTGAAAATCCTACAGCACTGTCTGCCCTACACCCGCCTCAAGAGAAAGGAGAGACTGTGTGGGTTGCCAATAAGCTACCCCCACCGAGTGCCCTTGGACAGGGAGGGGGGAAAGTTCTGAGAGGGGCCAGCTCTGGTCCCTAGAGCAGCAGCTCTGGTGCTGGGAAGTGTGTGTGTTGTGGTTGGAGCTTTTCCGACTGCCTTGGGAGGTGAGAAATGTAGTATTTGTCCCCTTCGACTATATTAGGGTTGTTTACCTTGTTGCCTGGGACTCGGCCTCAGCAGGGGAACAGCTGGGAGGCACAGTGACTAAGCTCCCTAGCATTGGGTGTTCATCTCCAGGACACTTCACACTCTCACGCCTCCTCCCATCGCCTTTAGGAGGGGACAGCTGAGCCTTCTCCGGTAGCCTAGGGAGGGGAACTGCAGCTGAGGAGGTCAGGCACGTGGCCTTGGCATCCAAGTGGGAGATGATGACCCATGATGGCAAGAACTCAGCACATGTTTCTGTCAGTGGGGGCTGGTGAGGGGTAGAGCCTGCTTATTTGACACAGAATATCTAAAGTTTAGGGCAATACTTGTGGGTAATCCCCTTTCTCATCCTATCACCAGGGAAGCCACGTTTATTCACATCAGTCTGTAGCATCACCACTTAAAGCCACAGGCAGTCACTGCAGTGGTGGTGGTGGTGTCCACATTGCACAGAGCTCAGCAGACTGGACCTGCCTGGTCTGTCTACTGAAGGAATAGCAACTTCAAACAAGGTCCATGTTTTAGTTTATTTCACCCTGCCCAATGAGTCAAGGAAATGGCCTCTGAAATTGTTCCTGACTTCTGAAGTCCTGGGTGATAGCTCTGAGGCTGAGTCTAGGCTAGGGAAAAGGTGGTTTCCAGTCAAGGTGAGTTGAGTGTCAGGGGAAGGAGAAAAGACAGTCGAGGGGGTGCGAGGCTGACATCCTTGGGGCTCTATGGATGTGCTGCCTCTGCTGCTGATTCTAGCCAGGTCTGGCTGGTCTGATTTGACAGAGGCAGGAGACCTCAGCTCCAGGCCCCCAGTGTGGTCTTAGATGAGTCCCACTACCTCGCCAGTCCCCAGTTCTAAGCACTGAGATGTGGGGGTGGAAGAGGGGATTCATTCCTCCTGCCACTAATCAAAATTCTGGACGATGAGTCTGCCTCTCTCCCCATGCTTCCTGAAAAGTGGTTCAAAGCCCAGATTCTTGAGTCAGACAAACCTGGGCTTGAATCCTGGTTTGGCCACTAGGCCAGTTGCTTCATCTCATGCTAACTCTAATTTCCTCCCAACAGCCATCTCACAGGACTGTGGTGAGGAGCAGAGGAGTTGATGTTTGCATTGTCCTGGCACACAGTGTCTAATAATTTGTAGCTAAAATCAGTGAAGTGCTTACTAAGGTCCCGGGTACTGCACGAGCAGGTGACATCTCACACTCTCTCTTCCAGTCCTCTTATGAGCCCTGCTGCTCAGGACTGCTGTCTCCACAGACGAGGAAACACACATGCCTGCCTAGCAGCTCACAGCCCAACTCAAACCAGATTGCTCTGACTCCCAGAGTGTGGGGCCTCCTCCCGGGAGACACCTGAAGGTGGAAGCTACTGGCCCTGCTCCGTGGTTTAGAGGTGTTAGCTCAACATGAATTTCTTTTTTAAACTTTTTATTGTGATTTAAGTCAATTTTTACAAAGATTTGTTTTCTATTCAATAGTTTATACTCATTTAGCTTTATGACACTGGTTCCATTCTCCACACTGTAACAGTTCTCCTCCCATTCCTCCCTGTGTCCCTTTCCCTGTGTCCTTCTTGCTGATGTACTCTTGCCTCCCTGCCTTTCTCCCGGTGCAGATGCTGCCCTTCTGACCTCCCATGAAGCTCAACATGAATTCTGTGACAATCCAACCATCTTCCAGGTTTTGATTTGCCCGAGGCTCTGGCATTTAGAGTGGCCCAGACTGTACTCAGACACCCAGAGCTGCAGATGGCAACCTCTCAGACGCCCTCTCACGTACACACATACCAAGTGCAGCTCTCAGGCCAGGACACGTGACTGAGACCGTCCCTCCCAGCTCCAGCTGACCCAGGGCAGCTAGCGACTGCCAAGCTCCCAAGCTCCGACAGACCCACGCTGTCCTGCTGCTGTGCTTGAGAAAGGCTGAGGGGACGTAGCAGCCAGCCCCTGGTGTACTTTTCTTTTCAGGGGGGAGGGGACACATACCTTTTTCACAGCACACTGGAAGCCAGTCTGCTTGTCCTCCATCCTGTGCACTTCTCCAAAGGAGCCTCTGCCCAGGTGGGGCAGGTGTGTGGCCCAGTGGACCCCCTCTCGGTACTCATAATCCACCGGCTTGAGTTTCTGGGGTTGGCGGGAGAGAGAGGCCCATGTCAGTGGCCAGGGCAGCAGAAGGACGAAGGGCTACGGCAAGGAAGGCACTACAACCAAAGACACCAGTGGGTCTGAGGCAAGGCTTTGAAAAGCAAAACCAGAGGTGGGCTTGCAGGGCCGGGGTGAAGGCAGGGAGCTTTCCCCAACATCAGAGGTTGTGGGACAGTAACAGAATAGTAAGCAGCTTTGATGGTGTGAAGGTGTAACTTGGGAGTAAGAAAGGGAAGAATGGTGAAGAGGGGCAGGGATCCAGGGATAATGTTAAAAGCGGATGGAATAAAACCCAGAAATACAAGCTCGGTAAAATCATTTAAAGTCACAAAGTGAGCCAGGAAGAGAACAAGAGGAAAAGTGGAAGGAGGCGAGCAGTAAAGATGAGCAGAGTCCTCAACTTTTATATCAGGGAGTCATTAGATCGTATCGGAAGTGGATGGATATATGCTTATGCCTCTGTTCCTTAGCATCAGTATTATTCATATAACACACACACACACTTTAGCAACAATGAAGTAACCGACCAGAATAACAAGAAGTAGAAATAGCTAAAAAGACTGACTGACAGACAAGTGAGCCTGGAGGCAGAGTAGGAGACTAGTGCTTCTCATCAGGGCCATTTTCTCCTACGTGACTGGGTTACCATGCACATGAGTGAGTTTGATAAAGAGAGCAAAGCAGCTCCCAAAGGGTGGGATCTTGGGAGTGAGTCTGGCAGGTTTTTGGAGTGAAGGCTCTTCTCCCATAATAGGTCCCATCCTGACTCCCAGCTGCTGCCCTGGCCCAGAGTTGGTGATATTGTGTGTGTGTGTGTGTGTGTGTAAGAGAGAGAGAGACAAAGAAAGAGGGAGGGAGAGGGAGAGAGAGAGAGAGAGGGAGAGGGAGAGAGACAGTGAGTGAAAGTGAGAGAGAGAGACAGATTGGGGGAGTAGTTACCTCATTAAGTAGGACGCCCTCACTTTCCTCAGTTTCAGGGCTGGGCCCTCGCAGCCTGGGGCTCCTTGCTGACCAGGTCTTGGCCAGGCTGGCCAGGCTGTGGGCCTGGCCTGAGCTCACACTGCCCTGCAGAGCATGCACCAGGTATTCCTCCACAGAAAACTTCTCACAGGTGCCACGTGGTGGGCAGCTGGGTGCCAGGTGTGGGCCAGGCAGGGGCTTCTGACTGTCTGCATATGCCAGTTTGCCCAGGTGTGGGTCAGGCAGGGGATGCTGGCTATCTACACATGCTAGTTTGCTCAGGAAGGACTCTAGGGGGTGAGGTTTCCAGGGCTGGAAAGGGTGGAATGGAAAGGGATGGGGCAGTCTGCTGTAGGGGAAAGGGTGAGCATGTTGGGGCAGGGGGCCCATATCCTGGGGGTGGTGGAGTTTCCACACATGGTTCAGGCACTGCAGGGGGCTGATCAGCTTGTGAAGTTCTGATCGAGGAAGTGCTGGCCGTAGGCCTTCCCTGAGTTTCTTAAAACGTAGCTGGCCAAGGCTTGGCTCCTTCAGAGGCTTGATGAACTGAGGGGTGTTTCTAACATAGGAGGAGCCTAGCGGAGACTCATCTTCCTGTGGGGAAAACACAGTGTTAGGAATAGGGCCAGGGCCAAGGGCACAGGCTGCTCCTCAAAGGAGCCATTCTGGAGGCCCTTGAGCCTGGGGTCTGGGGGTTGGGTGGTGGATCTCACCTGCACCGGGACTGTGCAGCTCTCCTGCTCAGGGGTCCTGGGGAGGGGTTTGGGCAAGGCCACTCCTGCCTGAGCTAGGGCCTTGCAGTTCTTCTTCTTCCGTTTCTTCCGGGCTTTGCTGCGACGCTTTCCCTTCCAACATACAGGGGCCATTTTGCCCTCGGTTGCATGGGCCACATTGTTGGGGATTTGATCAAGACTATCAGACTGGCTGTCAAAACAGGGAAAGATACTAACTTTAAATATGAGGAGGCAGGAAGACTTGATAGTTCAGACAGCAGCATCAGAGCCATAGAGACCTGTGATTAGATCCCCAGTTCTGTTATTACTTGTGAACAGGGAAAAGTTCCTAAACCCACAATGGACTTCAGTTGTTTCATTTATAAAACGAGCAGAGCATTTTCTGCCAGGCAAGATGGAGATGAGGTTTAAATGAAACAGCTCATTTACAAGGCCTACCTCGGTGCCTGGCCCCCATAAGCAGTGGATGCTATCGTGATGACGTATACATTTAGCACTTCTCCAGAGAGGGTGGTGCTGGAGGCCTCCCTCCATGGCCTCAGCTCCCGGCCCTGACAGGAAGCTCCAAGGCAGTGGACTGAGCCCAGGCCTGGGGAGCAGCTAGGGGTCTACAGGCCACTGAAAGAAGTGGGTCCATCAGAAACCCCCTACCCTGGGCCAAAAGGCATCTGAGGCAGCTTTAGGAATTCTACCAAAGGCCGAACATTTCTTGGTTCAAGGAAGCAGCCCTCATCACCACCTTTTCCTCAACAGCAGTTTCCTAATTCCAATGATTAAAAAAAAAGTCCACCTGGTGGTAGAAGATGGACTTGTTCTAGGTTCAGCTCTTAAGTGGCCAAAACTCGTCTTTGGGGGAATGGGAAGCCTGGGAACAGATGAGCTTTGCCTCTGGCTTCTTCTCTGCAGGGCTTCTGAGCTGCTCAAATTTTACATTTCCACCACTCTCATCCCTACTTGAGCACGCCTCCCAGGAGAAGACTCCAGCAGGCCTCTTTCACAGGGGCCAGTTAAAGTGGCACCTCTGGGGCCTTCACTCACGGTCACAGCCCACTGGGAAAGCAACTGCTGTTCCCAGCACCCTCCCTACTGATGGGAAGCGAGGGGTGCATCAAGGACTCTGAGGAGAATAAAAATAAAACGTCAAGTTGATGTGACCCAGAGGCAGTCTCCCAGCAGCCACAGGCTATGAGAAGCCTTTGAAAAGCTTATTTGGCTAAGAGACCAGCTCAGCCAGGAAAGCCTGGGCTGGTTTCAAGAGCTGAACCACAGGTGCTGAGGAGGCAGCCAGGGGTCACTTGGGAGCAGCCTGGACAAGCAGCTGGGGAGGGAGGACGCTGCCCTCAATTCTCTGTCTTCCCCGTCAAGCTTGCCTGCTTACCTGTACTGTTTTGACCCAGCGATGAAAATTCGTTCTGAAAAGGTGGGACTGAATTCCTGGCTATTCTCACCTTTTAAATAGGGGGGAAAGGGTTGGATAAATGAGAGGGAAGAAGAGAAAAGAACAGAAATTGAGCAGTTGGAAGAGATACATTTCACAGCTTTCTTGGGCCATTCTTCCCCCTACTGTCCAGATGACTTCTACCTGCTGGCTCACCTTCCTACCGTCACCTCCTTCTCTCATGAACTGTCTCACCTCAGCCCCCAGCCCAGAGGTCAACAGCAGAACGTGTACCTATAATATGGAGACCATAAGGGGGCCCACCTCACTTCAGTTGTGACACTTAAGAAAGTTAATCTACATAAAACACTCAACACAGTATCTGGCATACAGCTATTGTATTTATCTATCTATCTATGCATTTTTTTGGACTCCCTGGGTAACACAAGTGGTTAAGCACTAGACTACTAACCTCCCCAACCCCTTGCTATTCAGAGCCTCAGGAGCCAGCCTGCTTCTGAAAGATCACAGCCTTGGAAACCCTATGGAGCAGTTCTACTCTGCACACATTAGGCTGTCATGAGTCAGAATCGACTCTACAGCAGTTAACAACAACATATTTATACCATTATTAGCTCATTCATTCTTTTTCAGATTATTAATCTCTCATCTCTTCTAAAAAAAAAAAAAAAACAAACTAGAAGGAAATGAAAGATGAGGGGAAGGATGTGTGTATGTGGGGATAGGCCTTCACAAATTCTTGGTCTTGCCAGGCTCCATCAAGAAACTGCATGGGTTGGAGGGTAGTGTGATGAAGAAAGAGGAAGACACATGGTCCTACCCAGGCCTCCTGAGAGTTTCCCTGTCTCCTGGGGGCAGCTACCGTTACTAGTCATTTTGTGGTATCTTGAGTGGACCTCTGGTGGCACCATAATTAAGGTATATGACTGCTAACCCAAAGGTCAGCAGTTCGAACCTACCAGCCACTCCAAGGGAGAAAGATGAGGCAGTCTGCTTCCATAAAGATTTACAGCCCTGGAAACCTTATAGGGGTCACTATGAGTCAAAATTGACTCAATGGCAGTGGGTTTGGTTTTGGGTATAAGTGGTTGCAGGAGGGGCCAGGCCAGCCCTCATCCTGCTCTAGACTGGCCCAACAGGCCCAGAGCAGGTTTCACTCTTTGGGTGGGGCCATCTCTAGATGGAAGGTGGTAAAAAGCCTGCAGGCCCCAGAGGGGCTTTCCAAGAGGCCTGACCTTTCCTGTCTGGGGCCTCTCCAGAGACGCTCAGTTGCCCATGATCACAGCAGAAGGCGGATGTCCTGCTCATGGAGTCTACAGAGTGCCCACGATGGGGAAGAGTGCCCAGGAAGCCCAAGCATTCCTGCCTCCTAGCTCTTCTTCCTGGTTCTGGTCCTGATGGGCAAAGCCTCCGTCTGCCACTTCTCCCTTCTTGTGCTCCATTCCCCAGGGCTTCCATAGCTCCCACTTCACACCGATTCTTGGCTTAACCCCTCATGGTGCCTTATGAGAATCTTATACAGTAGTCACCCTGACCTTTCTCTTCATAGGGGACCCTAAGTCCAGCCTCATCTGTGCCAATCCCCCCCTTGCACAAAGAACTGTGCTGAGCTGCAGGCCCACCCACCTGCCCTTTCGGTGAACAGCCCTGACCCGGTGGCTCTTACATTCAGCCTGGGCAATGATGGAGATGGCAGCCAGCCCTCCCTCAGAGCCTTCCTTGGCTGTGCCTTTGGTAATCACGTCGTTCAGGATCTCCCACTTTCCACAGAACACGGGGCTCTTCTCTGAGGCCTCAAGCTTGCACACGGAGCTTTGATTCTTCCCCAACGTCTGTGCCTTCTCCTTGGCTTTGGCGAGCTCCTTCTGCTGCCCAACTGCTGAGCCAGGAGTGCCTGGACAGACCATTTCCATCACGGCCATCTCCCAGGCTCACGCTCACCCTAAGAGAGATCACACAGAGCAGGTCACCAAAATCCCAGACCCTGAGGGGCCCAGATCAGGCTTGGGTTGGAGAAAAGTTGGGGGGCAGGAACGGCCTTTGCCTCTTTATGCCACATGTATTTATCTCCCAATATCCCACGTGGTAAAGGAGTCAACCTCTCAGAAGCTACCCATGCTCCATGTTGTGTAAGCCCAGCCCCTTCCACTTCCCCAGCATAAGGGAACTCCTCTACTCTGTCCAGCAAGGAAGACTCCAGCTTACTTCCTCTAGGACAGTGACAACAAACATCTAGACTGGCTCATCTTTGCTTTTATAATGGCTGGATCTTTTTTTGTTGTTTGTTTTATGCCAAATGAAAGCTGCCCCAGGAAGGGGTGGTGGAGCCTATGCTCCAAAACCATCATCACCTCCTTGACCCCACACAGGCCTTGCCTTCTGAGAGGACTTTTTCCCCAGTGGAGAGAATCAAGGTTTTGTTTTTCTCCCCCAGCAGGAGATATATGTATATATGTGTGTGTGAATGTATGTGTGTGTGTGTAATATATACATACATGTATTTATGTGTATGTCTTACAAAGTCTGCGAATCAGCATGCAAACAGCACAGCTCAGTACTTGACTTCTTTTCTGAGATGCTTCTTTTGTGGCTCTCCAGCAGACACTGACACACTTCTTTCTATAATGTCCAAACTTATTTATGGAAAACTTCTCTGAGGTATCATTTTTCTTTTGGGCAACATCACTAGTGGGATTTGCATTAGAATCCCAACACCAACATATATCTCTAAACACATGAAAACAAGACACAAGAATTCACCTTTACCTGGGTACTATCTTGGCCAACCCTGTCCATTACTAAGGAAGCGACACTCTATGTGAATAGCATGAAGATCAGAACTGTCATGAAAGAGAACAGCACTGGTCTGAAACCTTTTTAATGACTGTGACTATGGACTCCCAAAGGGCAATGCCCCTCTGAGGTGTGATTGATTCAGACAAAGCCTGGGAAGGAACCAAATGCAGTCAGGTTTTTAATAGCTGCTGGAAGCTCTGGTGGTGTAGTGCCTAAGGCATTTCACTGCTAACCAGAAGGCTGGTGGTTCAAACCCACCAGCCACTCCTCGGAAGACTGAGCAATCTACTTCCATAGAGCTACCACCCTGGAAACCCAAGGAGGGCTCGCTATGAGTAGGAAACGACTCAACGGCAGTGAGTTTGGTTTTGGTTTGTTGTTTTCCCTGCTGTAATTCCATTAAACCTGGATCACTCCTTCCGTTTGCTCTTGGGACACAAAGGCCAACCACGTGAAGCCAAAGCTCTAATATCTGTGGCCCTTGGGCCATGAGAATGTAGGAAGCTGGGAAACACTTGGCTACAGCCTTCTTCCTATTGAATCTCCCTCACTCATCTTTCCCACCACGAGGGCTACCAAAGGATGAGCCGGGGGGGTGAGGGTGGGGACAGGGTTTGATCCTTACAGATCTGCCTTCGAGGGCCTCCTAACCTTCTGAACTCCAAGCAGCTCCCAGCTTCCAGCGTGGGCACCTGGATTCCGTCCTGAAGGCCAGATGCTGAGAAGCAGCCCAGGCAGCCTCATGGTTATGTAAGGACCTTCTGAAGTCTAAGGGGTAACCTGACTTCTAAATTAGGGAAAGCCCTCCAAGGCAGGGTATTTTTCTTTTAACCATACTTTCATCTCACCCTACACCTCCCCAACCTGCTGCCCCCTTCAAAAAGAAACAATCTAGGGCCTAGAGTTGATCCTACCTTTCTCAGCCTTATTACCAGGGGAAACGAGATCTTAAAATACAAATGAAAAACCCTCCAAGCCTAACAGTATTAGAGATGTGTTTATAGGGATCTTTTTTTTTTTTTTTTTTATTAGGATTTGGGTGAAGATTTACAGAGTAAATTCACTTTTCATACAGCAGTTCACATATACTTTATCTCATGCCATTGACCAAAATTTACAATACAACAGCTCCCCTCCCACTTCCTCCCCATAGTTACCTCCTCCCAGTGTCCATCCCTTCATACTCTTCTGCACCCTGAGCTATCTCCCTGTGCATAAGCAGCCCTTCCTTCTCCCATGATTGTTCTCTCCAGGGCGTGTGTCTACTTGAGGTAAATGTTTAACTCACATGCCTGTACTTTGTTTGGCTGGAAACCACAGTTGTGGGTTCAATTCCAGACCTGAAGGGCAGCTAGGGGCCATAGTCTCAGTGGTTACACCAGGCTCTATTGGACCAGCAAACCTGGTCCCCACCTTCTTTTTTTTTTTGCCTCCAAATGATTTTGAGTTTTGTTCCACATTGTTCTCCTTCTTTATGCATCCTACATCCCTTCCAAGTGGATGGCAGTGGTAGCTGGGCACCATCTAGTTCTTCTGGTCTCATAGTTGTATAGGTTGCAGATCGGATGGTGTACCAGTCGCTAGGACTGATTGTTTCCATTAATTTTGGTTTTCTTCTTTCTTCTTGACGAGGAGAGACCTGTTGTTGCATCTAGATGGCAGCTTCCTAGCTTTTAAGGTCCCAGTCGCTACTCGCCAAAGTAGTAGGTGGAACAATGTTTTGTATAGTATGTTATGCCAATTGAGCTTGATGTCCCCTGCGACTATGGTCCCAAGCCCGCAGGATCAACTACTCGGTCCCTCTGGGTAGCTGGCTGTGACCAAGCAATGACCATAACCTTGCCCCTTGTCAGCTCCACTATACACCTGGGAATTCTGATCATTCACATGAACTTATAGGCCCATTGTCTGCCAACCCTATATATGATCTTGAATACACTCTCCATTTAGACATACCTAATTGTTTAGCTTGTTCACCTATCTATCCGTCCCTATACCCATGTTTGCTTTCACTGACAACTCAGTACTGTATATGCAAAAGGGTTCATATTTGTTGTCTGTACTGCCCACGTAACTCTCTCTGTCTTTCTCATCCTCAATGCTGCCATATTGGTCACTCACATTTGGTACATTGCCCTTCTCTTCACCCAAATCAATATTTATCTCTATCTATCTAACAGCATTCCCTCCCCTCCCCTCCCACCCCTGGTAACCAACAAAGAAAATGTCCTCCAATAGATAAACCTTTCCTTAACTTTTACAATAACGGACTAATACAATATTTGTCCTTTTGTGACTGACTTATTTCACTCAGCATAATGTCCTCCAAGTTCATCCACGTTATGCGGTGTTTTGCAGATTCTACATTATTCTTTAGCGTTGCATAGTATTCCATTGCGTGAATGTACCAAAGTTTGGTTATCCATTCCTCAGTTGTTGAACATCTAGGTTGTTTCCAAGTTTTGGCTATTGTAAATAGTGCTGAGATGAACATCGGCGTGCATATATCTGTTCTTGTTATGGCTCTCACTTCTTTAGGGTATATACCTAGTAATGGGATGGCTGGGTCAAATGGTATTTGTATTTCCAACTTTTGAAGGAATCGCCATACTTTCCACAATGGTTGTACCATTTTACAGTCCCACCAGCAGTGTATGAGAGTCCCAATCTCTCCACAACCTAGCCAGCATTTGTTATTTTCTGTCTTGTTGAACTTTGATACTAGTGCTGGAGCAAGATGGTATCTCATTGTTGTTTTGATTTTATAGGGATCTTGACATTAGTTCATTTTCACTTGAAAAAACTGAGGCCTAATTAAGTGGAGACTTGCCCAAGGTCACCTAGCCGATGTGTGGCACAGCAAGTCTCTTGAGGTTATGCTGCCCTTTCCTGAAGTCTCCTGGGTTTCAGGAAACACTAAGAAGGGAACTCTTGGTTCTCTCTGGTTAGAAAGTGGCCAGTATATAGCAGAGCAGGGTACAGATCAGACAACTGATATTGGCTGAATGGTGACATCAAAGGATAAAGAGTGTTTCTCCATGACTGTCAGAGAGAAGATGACCCTGAACACCAGGAATGAACAGAGTCCCACATGACTGATGAGAAAAATGAGACTGAGTGGTGCCTGGCTTGTTCTGCGAGTATCCAGCAGTCCACAGACCTAGCAGCCCTCAGGCTCAGAGAGCCTGGCTCTGTCTGACGTGGCTGCCGGGGGTGTCTTGGATTGCTCATCCTGAGCTGGAGCTCCTCCAGAGAGGCTGTGGGACACCCCCTCATGCCCAGGAGCTGTTCCTTTCATTTTGGTGGTTAGGTAGGCAGCTGGCCAAGGACCCTCTTCCTCCCTCCAAGAGCAAGGCTAGGCTCCTCCATCCCTAGAGAAGATGCCGAGGCTGAGGCTGAGGCAGCTGAGCTCTGAGCCTCTTTTGCAGTACCCTAGTGGCAAAGTGGTTAAGCACTCGGCTGCTAACTGAAGGGTCAGTGGTTTGAGCCCACCAGCTGGCTCCATAGAAGAAAGAAGTGGCAGTCTGCTGCTATTAAGATTACATTAAATTGGAAACCGTATGGTGCAGTTTTACTGTCCCATCGGGTTGATATGAGTTGGAATTGACTTGACAGCAGTGGGCAGGATGACTCATCCAACAGCCTGGCAGGCCAAGAGAGTAACAAAGAGGCTGTGAGAAGCTGACCCAGCAGATGGCAGCTGAACCTGTGATGGGGCACAGGGAAACAGACCTGCACCTCCCAGGGGCACGAAATCATAGCCCAGGAAGCTATAAAGCTTCTCTTGTGGCTGGTTTCCTATGCCACATGACCATGACTCAGACCCTCACCAACGGACTCCAAGTTCAAGAGACTATTCTCAGGAAACATTAGCCTGACAGCAGCACTCCTACACACACATGCTCACTCGCCCCCTCCTCCCCCACTTCTGTATGGGTTCTGGCCTACGGGGGGAAAAAAAAATTCTGCAGTATGTCTGGGACTACTGGCCAGGCGGCTTCCCAGCCCTGGGCTTCAGCTCCTGGCTAGTTGCCCCAGATCACAGCCCCACATTTCTATCCCTCAGCTCTTCTGCTGCTTACAGGGGAGGTAGGGAGCTAGCCCTGTTTCTGCTTTTGAAGGCAAGTCAAAATCCTGATCCATTAC